TTAGCTCACAACCATCTGTAACGTCAATTCCAGCGAATCAGATGCTTTCCTTCTGGTCTCCATGGGTGCAGCATGCATGTGGTGCAGTTACATGCTGGCAAAACACTCATACATATTTAAAAAATGATTGGCGTGGTATCACACACCATTAATCCCAGCATTGGGGTGTCTGAGGCAGGAAGATCTCTGAGTTTGAGGCCAGCCTGGTCTACAGAGTGAGTTCCAGGACAGCCAGGGCTACACAGAGAAACCCTATCTCAAAAAACAAAACAAAGATAAAGATCAGGACAGATTGTTGAGTAGGAATTTTGCTTTTATTTTTGGCCTCTTTTCTTTACATTCCCAAGATAGCCGAGCAAGGTCAAGTCATTGACAAGAGATGAAGATCCCCCTTCTTCTGAGCTCCATAAAGCTAAGTGGGGGTATCACAGGGCCCTGGTTGGAGCTACTGGTTCAGTCACAGCAGGATTGTAGGATGGTAACACACAGAAGGCTCTGGAGCCCCCTCCCCCCTTTTTTTTTGAAAAGGGAAGGCTATCTCAAGAGGTAGAAGTCCAGATTGTGGTATCATTTGGAAATTAAGAGGTCTTCAGAGGTGAGAGACACCTATGGTGGTGGTTGATATCCTTGAAGACTACAGTCTGGAGCTTGATGGCCTGTACTCTGTAAAACAGTAATTGTACCAGAAGGTTAAGTAAGTGAGGGTCAAAAAAGAAAGGTGAGGTTAGGCTAGTGAGCAGGGCCAACCCCCATGCCTCTCAGTTAAGAGCCATCCTTTGGAGACTCTTTTTTTTTTTTTTTAAGATTTATTTATTTATTATGTATACAGTGTTCTGCCTGCATGTATGCCTGCAGGCCAGAAGAGGGCACCAGATCTCATTATAGATGGTTGTGAGCCACCATGTGGTTGCTGGGAATTGAACTCAGGACCATCTGGAAGAGTAACCAGCAGCCAGTGCTCTTAACCTCTGAGCCATCTCTCCAGTCCCCCTTCGGAGACTCTTAAATTTGATGTCTATAGTATCCTTTAACCTACAGCATGTACTATGCTGATTGATAGGTGTAGCTGCAGTATTCTCCCAGAGTCAGGTCAGTACCCCTTTGGGCCACCATACGTAGGTCAAAGACATGACAGTTACGGAGCATTACTGAAGCACCCCAGTCCTCAAAAACTGATGAGATGTAGCTTAAGCTTAAGCAGTGAGTCTAAGTCTACATCTCCTGGTATCTACTCCTGCTGTAATGCCCAGTCCTGGTAGGAGGGGTTTCAGATGGACAGTCTCCTAGGTCAAGACACAGGGAGGCTGAATAACTGTTAGGGGCAATGAAGGCAGGGACAGGTCCATTAAGCCTGAAGATAGACTTTAGTTCCACATAGAAGAATTATCTTGGGGAGTTTAAGAGCAAGGTGGTGTTGGATAGAAAGTAAATGGTTGGATGTTCCAGAAAAGGGGGAGGCTGAGGGATGGAAGAAATAGAAGGAGGCTGACTGTTTAAGGGGCAGTTGAAGCTGAGGTGTTGGGGGCTGAAGCCATTTTCCTAGTACAGGTAGATCTGTCAGGGGTCTGTTAGGATCTTGTGTTGGTGATCGGAGAGAGGAGAATTTGGAGGACTCTTTTAAGAGGAGGTTTGGTTTTGTCACAGGTATGTTAGGACAAGCAGTTAGTCAGGCTTGACTGAGTTGTGAGCTTTTCTAGAGTTTTTATCAGGCAGACCAAAGAGTAAACACCTCTGAGACCTATACATTGTCTTGGAGTTGGGGGTGTGATAGGTACACTTTTTATGTCTCTAATAGAAGGGTAAAGTTGTGTGATTAAAGAATGCCTATGTGCGGGCAGTGGTGGCACATGCCTTTAATCCCAGCAGAGGCAGGGAGGAGTCAGAGGCAGGCAGATCTCTAAGTTCAAGGATAGCCAGGGCTACACAGAGAAACCCTGTCTCAAAAAACAAAACAAAACAAAAAACAAAAGAATGTCCTCGGGTGGAACCCCTTGTGGCTTCAATTCAAATGAGCCTGGTTTAATAGGCCAGCATTTGACAAGACTATACACTAAATTGGTGAGTGAGGAGATGCAAAGAAATAGATTTATGTGTACATTTGACTATGAGAGTGTTGAAGAGGTGTGCTAAGCCCACAGAGTTCTATTGGAAATGTGTATGGAGGGAAATTATTAATTGGGTCCATTTAAATAGTGACTGGGTAGGAAGTGCACGCCAGGTAGGAGTTAAGGGTAAGCAGAGGCAGAGGTCGTCCATCAGGGCCTGGTTGTGTCACTTGAGGTTATGGCCTTTTGGGGAAGATGAGAAAGCAGGAGGGGCTGAGACCAGGAGTAGCAGAATAACCCAAGTCAGAAGGTTAAAATGACCCTGTTAGGTGATTTCAGGAAGACAGGTAGAGTGTGACAGTGGCCATCAGGAAGATGAGACCAAATCCTAGGCCAAGTATAGGGGCCCCGTGCTGTTGGAGTGAGGGATGTGAGATCTCTGTTTAATTATTATTTAAATTTTATGTGTATGGGTGTTTTGCCGGCATGTATGTCTGTGCATCATGTGCATGCTTGGTGCCCTGAGTGTCCAGAAGAGGGCACCAGATCCCCTGAGACAGGAGTAATAAATAGTTACGAGCCACCATGTGGGTGCTGGGACTCGAATCCAGGTCCTCTGGAAGAGCAGCCAGTGCTCTAACTGCTGAGCCATCTCCAACTTGAGCGGTGAATTTTTTTTTTTTTTTTTTTTTTGTTATTGTGTTTGTTTTGAGACAGGGTCTCTAAATAGCCGTGGCTGTCCTGGAACTCGCTCTATAAACAGGGTGGTCTTGAATTTACAGAGATCTGCCTGCCTCTATCTCCTGAGTACCAGGCTTAAAGGGGTGCACCACCACACCTAGCTTCACACCTGGGTGTGAGATCTTAAAAGTACAGTTGGGAGGAAAAGTGGGCTGAGGAGGGTCTGAAGTGTGACCTTAGAGAGCTTCTAAGAGTTAAATGAAGGGGACTGGAGATGGCTCTGTGGTTAAGAGCAATGGCTGCTCTTGTGGAGGACCCAGGTTTGGATCCCAGCACCCACACGGCAGCTTACAAACATCTATGACTCTAGTTCCAGGGGATCTGATGCCTCTGCTGACCCCTGTGGGCTCCTGTAAGCATATGGTGCACAAACATACACTAGGGAACACATGCACATAAAATTAAATAGCTATATATATAATATAAAAAAATAAGCCGGGTGGTGGTGGCACACGCCTTTAATCCCAGCACTCGGGAGGCAGAGGCAGGTGGATCTCTGTGGGTTCGAGGCCAGCCTGGACTACAGAGTGAGTTCCAGGAAAGGCGCAAAGCTACATAGAGAAACCCTGTCTCGAAAAAATTAAAAAAATAAAATAAATAAATAAATAAAATAAAAAGACTTAGGTTAACCATTTCAGCCTTTTCAGGTGATAGAGGGCTGCCAAACAGCATGGAGATCATACCTATTTTTGAGACTTTCATTTACTCCTTAATTTTGAAAATGGAAGCTGAACATTATCATACTCTAGGCAGAGGTGGGGGGGTGGGGCAAAGCAAGGATGTGTTCAAGAGAAGGATGGTGGCCTGTGAGGCTCTCCCTTGCTCTGCTTTACAGGAGTTTGCTTCTTCCATTGGGTGAAGGTCCCTGTCTACTAGAACTATTATATCTGTGACCATCATGCTAGGGGGAAGGTGGGTGAGGTTTATTTGGATTTCCTGAGAATGTGGGAGAGTGGGATTGGGGATTAAGATTGGAGTGAAAGGCTGTTGATCGGCTTGCTTGTTATCCTAAGAACTGTCAGAGTGGGCCTGGCAATGAATAATGGCCACCTCAGTTAGAAGCCCGGTGGCTTCTGGTAGGGCCAAGATCTCCAGACATGTCTGATCAGGGCATCATGGCGGTGCAGAGACCCCGTTCTTTCCAGATGGCTGCACAGACATGCATTACATGAAAAAAATCACATTTCTGCCCTTGGTGAAGACAAGTAGTTCTATCTTTGAGCTTATCACCCAGAAAAGGCCCAGATTCTATGACCTCTGTGAAGTTATGTCCTGCCACTGGAAAACTGCCAACGTCTATGAGCCAGGTAGTCTAGGGTGGGAGTGTTGTAAAGGGGTTTAAGGTAAATCTGGAGGGAAGTTTTGTAGTAAGTTCTGGAGTGTGTGCAAGAGTGTGAGATTTGTTGACTCTCCTGAGATCCAGTAGAAGGCTCTTGAATTGACATTGTCAAGGACCTGATGGAGCATATAAGCTGTCATACTCTGTTCCAGGGTTAATTTGGAGGCCTTTCCAGCCAGAAGGATAACAGCGGTCCCATGCCTCTGGGTCTAATGACTTGAAAGAGTAAACGGCTGGACTCTCAGAGGGCCCCAGGATTTGAGTTCAGAATTCCTGGGAATTCTGTTCTTTCTTATTCATGTATATACAGAGAAAAGGGCTCGATGAGGCAGAAAAAGTTAATCCTGCTACAGAAGTTCTGTAGGATGTTAAGGAATAGGAAGAAGGAGCTTGTAAAATTGTATCATAGAACCCAGAAAGGCAAAAGGAAGAATCTTGGCTGCTCATGGGAGTGATTGCCTGCCTTAGGGGGGCCAGGGTCTTTGTCATTGTCACAAGGTCCCATCTAGTGGGCTTCAGGCAAGGTGAGTTGGGGGGTTGATCCTCTTACCGATAGACTTTGTTGTGTGGCTGGAGAACCCCTGAGCAGGGAATGAAGTGGAGGGGAGAGAAGGGAGAGATGCTGGAGCACAGCTTCTCTCCTGGCCTCCTAAGCTCTTCAAGGATACAGATGCAGACTGGGCAGCTGGGATCTCTCTAGAAGGCACTGTGTCTGCCCAGATGATGGCATTTCACTCTCTGTAGCTGCCATGGGACTCCATGGCCCTTTTTTTAGAAATGTAGGTCATCAGGCCAAGGGAACAGCATACCTGAGCAGGGGAATCGCTATGGCTCCTGTGCCTCCACGTGGCCCTCTCAATCCCTCTGTCCTGCAGCTTCTATTCCAAGGACAGTGAAGGCAGCTGGTTCCGCTCCCTCTTTGTTCACAAGGTGGATCCTCGGAAGGATGCCCACTCCACGCTGCTGTCTAAGAAGGAGACTAGTAATCTCTACAAGATCCAATGTGAGTAGCTGCTAAACTGGCTAGCTGCACCTCAGGCTTTCTTTGTGGGTGGATTTGGGGTAAAGAGCTATGATATTGGAGATGATAGAATCCTCATTCTCAGCAAGGCCCCATGCTGTCCTGGGAGCCATGGCCCTATTTGGGGCCTGCTCATTCTGATCCCCCAACCTCCTCCCCCACACACACACATACAAGCATGTGTGAGTATTGCATGCACTTCATTTCCTGCTCTCTGTCATATGTTGCAGTTCACAATGTGAAGCCCGAATATCTGGATGCCTACAACAGTCTGACGTGAGTGTTCTCCATCTACTGTTCCCATCCACTGTGGGAGGTAGGGAGTAGGGCCCTCCTTCTCAAGAAACTCTTAAAACCCTCTGCCTCGAAGCTCATGTTTTAGTAAAAGGGGGACCTGTAGGGCCCTGGCCCCCGTTTTGGGTAACTGTTGCCTTGCTTGCTGACCTTGACCGTGATATCCTCCCTATGCTAATTCCCTGCCGGGTTCCACCCTCCTGAATGTTTAAGGGAAGTTCCTTGTATGTGTATCCTGCATAATGGGTGTTAACAGCTTAGATGCAAGATTGTAAAACATCTGTAGCGAACTTCTGCCCTCCGGGGTTCTCCCATTGTGCTGTAAGCCTGTATTTAAGACCTCCTCCCTCCTTCAATAAACGATATTGGGGGGGGGATTTATACTCTATCAAGCTGATAATAGAAAAATAAATAAAAAAATAAAAATAAAAACGCTCTGCCTCATTCTGTCCAAATCAAAGGGTGTGGATTCTAGAGCCCCACCTATGCTTCTTAGAGAGGAGACAAGCTTAGCCCTGGGGCCCCGAGTTGGAACCTTTATCTCAGGGCCCTTGGTGGTCAGTGCAAGCCCTGCTCCTTCCTGTGCCCTTCCCACAGGGAGGCTGTGCTGCCCAAGCTGCACCTGGATGAGGACTACCCCTGCTCGCTTGTGGGCAACTGGAACACGTGGTATGGGGAGCAGGACCAGGCAGGTGAGCTTCCCTTGTCCCCGGTGCCACAGTTATCACCCAGCCCAGGTCTCCATCAGCTCTCCTATCCGACTGCCCTCCTCTCTCTCCGCAGCATCTCTCAGGGTATAAGGAAGTCTGTTTCTTTCATACCTCATCGTCCCACCCAAACACCTGTTGTGGCTCCTCAGTGCCCTCAGGCAGCCCATGAGGCCTGTGAGTCCTTACTTGCCCAGCCCACAGCCTTCCTTTGCTACCTCTGTTCACTGTGCTGCTCTGCCTATGAGTCATCGGTTCCCCAGGTAGAACTGCTCTACTCTCTGGTTATAGGTGGCCATCCTGAGGTGTTTGTTCTCCCTTGCCTAGTTTACTTGGTTTGGTTTACCTGTCTTTTATCTTGTTTGAGATAGGGGACTTACTGTGTAGACCAGGCTGGCCTCTAAGACGTACTTTCCCTCTTCTTCCCTTGTCCGTTTACTTTGTTCCTCTATGACAAAATTCTATCTATATAGTTTCAACTCCATCCTGAATCTTAGTTCCTCTTTGTACCTATGTTTTCTGTCCCCTCATAGCCCTGGTAATAACTAAGCCCTTATGCTTTTGGCCTCATCTTCATCCTCTGTTCCTTCATCCTCCATCTATCCTTCCTGGCTCCTTACTCCTGGCCCTAATAAACTCTATAAGAAACTGCCTTACCCTCTACAGAAGCTCTGCCGTCTTCTCTCTGTCCAGGCCACTCTGTCTACCATCTACAGAGAGACTGCCTTGTTCTTTCTCTCCCTGCCACGCAATTCTGTCCACCAGGAATTCTGCCTCACTCTTTACTCCACCTGGATATGCAAAAACCTCTTCTGTCCTCAGTCCATTGCTCTGGAAAGCCACTAGGCTGAAGGCATGGGATAGTCTGAGCTTTATCTGCACAAGAAACAAAGCTATGCATCTAGGAGCCAGGTTGCCTCCAAAAGGACTTTTACCTTAGTTCAGGGGCTTCAGGCACCTAGCAGGTGGTCTGGTAGCTAGTCTGTTCCTTGCTTGTCCTTCAATGCTTTGTTTGGAGCTGGCCCTATCTTTGGATGTAGCTAAAAGGGGATATTTGCAAAATAGGCAATTCAAAGCCAATTCAAATGGTAAAAAGGGAGCAGGGAGGCAGAAAGCCCTGCCTACATGACCTTATCCAAGTACTGGCTGTAGTAGGATGCTCACACATACATGTTCTATGGGAATTATGAGCACAAGAAATTCATAACGAGGAGCAGCTGAATATTAAAACTGAATAACACCAAATATTCCATGATAAATGGCTTCCCACTAGAAAAATGCCTTGAAATTTCTAGGTATAGCTTTAATACACAGCTGAATCTCTATAATATATTCTTGTGGCCCTCAAGATCTCCCTGCTTCAGCCTCCTGAGTGCTGAAATGCTTTGATTGTCTTTTCCTTTTTTTTTCCTTCTTCAAGACAGGGTCCTGGTGTCCTGGAACTCACTATGTAGACCAGGCTGACCTTGAACTCACAGAGATCCACCTGCCTCTGCCTCCCGAGTGCTGGGATTAAAGGTGTGCGCCACCACTCTTGGCTTGTTTGCTTGTCTTTTTTTTTTTTTTAAGATTTATTATGTATATATGTATTTTGCCTGCAGGTACTCCTGCAGGCCAGAAGAGGGCACCAGAACTCATTATGGATGGTTGTGAGCCACCATGTGGTTGCTGGGGATTGAACTAAGGACCTCTGGAAGACCAGTCAGTGCTCTTAACCACTGAACCATCTCTCCAGCCCCTGTTTGCTTGTCTTTTAAAGTTATTTTCAAATTAATTTACTTTGTGTGTGTGTGTCTGTCTTTCTGTCTGTACATACAGGTGTGCATGTGCTGTGGCGTGTCTGTGGAGGTTAGTGGACAGTGGTTCTTGTCTTCACCGTGTTGAGGTGGGGTCCCCTTTGTTTCTGGTGCTGCACTGTGCACTCCAGGCTAGATTACAGATGTGGGCTTCCGTTCCTGGCTTTTTCACTTGGGCTCCAGGGATCAAGCTCCAGTTGTCTGGCTTGTGTAGCAAGAGCTTTTACTTGCCAAGCCATCTTACCAGCTCTTGCCTGTCTTACGGTTTTATATTTTGGTGTAGACATGGCATCCTTCTGAAAAATGATTCTTTGCATTTTTTTTTTTTTTTTTTTTTTTTTTTTTTTTGGTTTTTTCAAGACAGGGTTTCTCTGTGTAGCTTTGCGCCTTTCCTGGAACTCACTTGGTAGCCCAGGCTGGCCTCGAACTCACAGAGATCCCCCTGGCTCTGCCTCCCGAGTGCTGGGATTAAAGGCGTGCGCCACCACCGCCCGGCGATTCTTTGCATTTTTGCTGGGTCAGGCACTGTCCTTGGTGGGTCAGGCATTGTCCCTGGCTCTCACCTCCACTACTTGCCTCTTCATTTCCTGACGATGCATCCCTGTAGCTGCCAACATACTTGTGTACCGTCTCCTATAGGTAGTAAGTTTTGGGGGTCAGGGCTTTATCTCTTTGCAATACTTAATACTCAATATAAATATTTCCTCTCTTTAAAAAATTCATGCTGGGGAGTGGGGTGGTGCTAGAGAGATGGGTCAGTGGTTAAGAGCACTGGCTGTTCTTCCAGAGGTCTCACAGGTTCCATTTCCAGCGTACACCTGGTGGCTGGCAACTATCTGTAACTTCAGTTCCAGGGGAACCCCACCCTTCTGCTGGCTTCCACAGGCACTGCATACATATGGTGCACAGACATAAGCCACATGTAAGCCAAACACCTACACCCATAAAATTAAAAAGTAAATAGTTCCTCAAAAAATTATTTTCAAAAAGTTTATGCTGGGGCCTGGAGAGGTAGCTCAGCAGTTAAGAGTACTTTCCGCACTTGCAGAGGACCTGAATTTAATTTCTGGCATCCAACCATCACACAAGCATCCACAATTCCAGCTCCAGAGAGTCCATATCTTCTTCTGACCTCCATGGGCACCAGGCACACACATGGTGCACATACATGCATTCGGGCAAAGCACTCATACACATAAACTTAATCCTGAAAAAAAAATTGTTTTAAAAGCTCATGCTGGCTGACTCCTGTAATCCTAGAATTCAGGAGACTGAAGCAGAAGGATTATTGTGAATTTGAGGACACACTGCTCTACAGAGTGAGCACCAGACCAGCCAGGTCTACAGAATGAGACTGTGTCTTGAAAAATTAAAACCAAACTTAACCAAAACCACCAGAAAATTCAGTTCCTCAGTCATCTTTGACACACCTTGAGTGTCCACTGATACATCTGCCTGGCTCGCGGCTGCCATTGGTAGAAAACACTTCCAGTATGGCAGAGTATCATTTTGCATGGTGCAGGTATAGAATATGGCACAGCCATTACAGACAACCCTCTCAGCTTCCCTTGCATAAACTCCCAACAGTGGGAGCTCATCACCCCATAAGCCAACCTGTCTCAAACCTGATGTGTGTGTTTAATAAAAGAAAACAATCTGTAAGCCTAGCATGGTGGTACACATTTGTAATGCCAGTACTTGAGTTCAGGGCCAGCTTGGTCTACATATCAAATTCAGGCCAGTGAGGCCTTCATAGAGACCCCGACTCAAGAAATAGAATTAGGAAACCTGTACAAAGAGAAAGACAGATATCCGTAATTACCTGGTCTGTGTTGGTGACAGACAATAACTGATAATCAAGAGACAAGCCATCTGCTGTCCGCTTAGCACTATGGTTTCCTTAATCTTTGATCAACTTGACTGGCAGTAGCAGAACTCCTTGGATTCTACTAAGAGTTTACTGATTGAGGGGCTGGAGAGGTGGTTCAGAGGTTAAGACCACGGTCTGCTCTTCCAGAGGACCTGGGTTCAGTTCCCAGCACCCATATGGTAACTCACAACTGTCTGTAACTCCAGTTCCAGGGGACCTCACACCCACATGCAGGCAAAACACCAATGTACATAGAACAAAAAGAAAGAAAGGAAGGAAGAAAGGAAGAAAGAAAGAAAGAAGCAGCAGCAGGTGGGTCAACATTTTAAAAAAAAGAGAAGCCGGGCGGTGGTGGCGCACGCCTTTAATCCCAGCACTCGGGAGGCAGAGCCAGGTGGATCTCTGTGAGTTCGAGGCCAGCCTGGGCTACCAAGTGAGTCCCAGGAAAGGCGCAAAGCTACACAGAGAAATCCTGTCTCGAAAAACCAAAAAAAAAAAAAAAAAAAAAAAAAAAAAAGAGAAAAAAGAGTTTACTGATTGAAGCCAGGCATGGTGGTGTACTGCCTTTAATCCCAGCACTCAGGAGACAGAGGCAGGCGGATCTCTATGAGTTCGAGGCCAGCCTGGTCTACAGAGGAAAGCTAGGGCTATTACACAGAGAAACCCTGTCTCAAAAAAGAAAAATAAAATACTGGTTGAGCCAGGCTTAGTGGCACATGCCTGTAATTCCAGTTCCTGGGAGGCTGAGGCAGGGGGATCGAGAGTTTGAGGCCAGTCTGGGCTGTTTAGCAATACCTTATCTAAAATAAAACCAAATCATGCTTGCAAACTGTGAAATGAATTTTGACCTTATAAAGCACATCCTACATGATGCACATGTTGAGATTTATCGCCTCTGTGGAGACATCTGAGGAGTAGACCATTAGCGTCAGGCTCCAGGGCAGGGCACAGGGATGTGCCTGCGAATAAACTCGTCAAAACCACTGCTCTGTCTTCTCTAGGGGCCACTGATGACTAGAGACTTCTTTCTTGGCCTCTTCACGCCTCCCTTTAAGTTGACCCCTTTCCCATAGGTCAGCATTCTTGGTTTGCCATGATAGGACAGACTGCCATCCATACAAAAGTTATGGTACTTCCCTCTGGAACAGGCCCTTTGAACTATAGGGTCAGACCGTTTGCAAATGGGAAAATCAAGGTGCCAAGAAAGTCTGATGAGGGATAGGCTACCGTGGGAAGTAACCGAACGTGTGCTTTCAAGTCACAGGTCAGTCGGTTACCCTCAGCTCTAGCGTGGCCCCCTCACCTCCTGGGGGCCTGCCTGTCTCTCTCTTCCCCTCCCTCTTTTCCTCTCGCTTCTTCGCTGCTGATTGACCTAGGCCTCGCATATGCTAAGTACATGTTCTCTCACGTTAGCTCATGCTTTGCTTACTGGGACTCAGGTTAGCTACCTAGGGCTGCCGTAAACTACTATGGACTCCAAAAACGGAAGTGCATCCTTCAACTTTGGAAGCCAGAGGCAGAAATTAAGGTACTAGCTTGGTCTGGGCTTCCTCTGAGGCTCAGGGAGGGTCCTTCCTGCCTCTTGCAACTTCTGGCTGTTAGGAACCCCTGGCATTCTTTGGCATGTGGGCACATCAGTCTGAACTCTGATTCCCTTTGTGTGCATCTCTCCTCTGATAAGGGCACCAGACTGGACTGAAGGTCTATCCAGTATATAGGCTTAACTCAGTTATCTACAGAGACCCTGTTTCCATACAAGGTCATATAGCGTGGTTCTGGCAGGGCATGGATTTTGGAGGGGCTACTATTGAAGCCAGCAGAGAATATGGTTGGGGGAAAATCTAATGGTACAAAGAGTTCTCAGTGAGAATGAGGCTGGCCTCTCATTGGAGGACCAAGGGGTCTCTATAATCATAGTCTTGAGTATCCACTAGGAGATCATGTGTACATTGGCATCCCTGTATGTATCCTCCTGCCCCTAACCACATGCTGGAGTACCCCAGTATCCCAGCCCTTAGTTTGTTTTTCCTTCTTTCCTCTCCTCTTTTTTTTTTTTTTTTTTTTTAAGACAGGGTCTTCCACAGCTCAGACTGGCCTTAAACCTTCTGATCCTCCTGTCTCCACACAAATGTGTGTCACCAGCCCAGTTTTATGTATTGTTGGGTATTTGAACTCAGGGCTTTGTGCAGGCTACCAGCTGAGCTACATTCCCAGTCTGCTTCCTTCCTTCATAAGGTAGGGTCTCCCTCTGTTACCCAGACATTAGCTCAAGGCATCATCCTGAATCAGCTTCCCAAGTGGCTGGAACTACATGTCCCTGTCTCCATACATAGCTGCAGGTTTTACTTATTTATTTTTCTTACAGTCACCACCTTGGACACTTTTGTAATCGTTGTTTGGTTGGTTGGTTTTTGCAGTGCTAGATGTGGAACTTGGGGTCTCCTGCTGTTAGACAAATGCTCTACCAGTGAGCTACAGCATCGGCCCTCTTGGAGTGTTCCCTTAATCCCTGTGTCTGCGGGTGTCCCTAGGGTGGAAGACACTCAGATCATCTTTTGTTTGGTTTTGTTTGTGATGCTACAGATGAAACCCAGGTCCTTCTGCATGCCAAGCACATGTTTTATCAGTAGCTACTCCCATCCTCATCTGATCCTCTTGTTGCTGCGATTTTAGGAATTTGGAGTTTTGTGGATGAGGACATTGAGTCCTTGGGCGGTCAAAGGCTACCAAGCAGAGCAGAGCTAGTGGTCTCCTGGGCTTGTACTGGGCTTGCATCTAACGTCATCCCTCTACCTCGTGCTACTCCTTACCGAGACAAGGGGACTAGGAGAGCCCCCACTCTATTGCCACATACACAGTCCAGCCTTGGTGGTGGTTGGTCAGGCAGACTCCCGGTAGCTCCTTGACCTGTATCCCTATCCCCAACAGTGCACCTATGGAGGTTCTCAGGTGGCTATCCAGCCCTCATGGACTGCATGAACAAGCTAAAAAACAACAAGGTATCCCAGCATCCTGTGTGCATGTTGCTTCCAGCCCAGCCCTGTGTGGAGGGGAGTGTGGGAGATTCCTCTGCCCCCGACAGAGCACACTGACAGGGTAGCATAAAGCTCCTGGCATTGTGCCAACAATGCTCTGCCTTCAGGAGTACCTGGAGTTCCGGAAGGAACGGAGCAAGATGCTGCTGTCCAGGAGAAACCAGTTGCTTCTGGAGTTCAGCTTCTGGAACGAGCCACAGCCCAGAGCTGGCCCCCACATCTATGAGCTGAGGACATACAAGCTCAAGGTACTTGGCCCCCAGCAGAGCCCTCTTGCCTTCAGTCTGCCTGCTGTTGTGTTGCTTTGCAAGAGCTCCGGTTAGGAGCATCTGATGCTCCTCCCTCCTTGTATGCTCAGAGCAGAGGGGTGTGCACTCCTGCACACCGCTGCACACCAGGTGTGAGTCAGGGCCCATGAGTGCGGCCCCTGACTCTGGGGAAGGCTAGTTTCCCATCCCTTATGATGTATAGTTATCCCTGCCCTTATGATGTTGGGCGTCCAAGGTGGTGCTCACTTCCTCCTCCCTCTGGATCTCTTCCAGCCAGGAACCATGATTGAGTGGGGAAACAACTGGTAAGTGGTGGCACTCGGTTGGGTCCCTGCTGTCCTGCCCCATCAGGTTCCCTGTGGGCTTCCTCAGGGTGTGTTATGGGGAACCCAGCATGCTCTGCTCCTCACAGATCTCAGACAAGGATCCATCTGAACAGTGCCAGTTCTGTAGAGGAAAGTGCTGCCAACCAGCCAGCAGCTAGCTACACCTCCAGAATCCGTTCCCCCGGCCCCACTTCGACCCCACCCATCAAATGCGGCCAGAGAATCAGCCTGGGACACCCTGGGGGACCATTGCCTGGGCCTCTGTCTCATGTTCTCTGCTCTCTCCAGGGCTCGAGCCATCAAGTACCGTCAAGAGAACCAGGAGGCAGTGGGAGGCTTCTTTTCACAAATAGGAGAGCTCTACGTGGTACACCACCTATGGGGTAGGTTGGAGACACTCCCTGTTTGTCCCATCACCTCACAAAACGTGGATGCATCTGTGTTCCTATTGCTCTCACATCCTAGCAGAGGGAGATGCACCCTCAGACACACTAGCAAAAAGGACTCAATTTCACATGACAGATGCTGTGGGAGACCAGGCAGGGGAAGACAGCAGAAAGAAGCAAGGGACCTTAGTGGCTTGGATAGACAAGGTCCCTCTGAAGGGTAAAATACAAGTCCTGAGCTGAAGGATGAGGAAGCCAGCTAGGGATTGCTGGAGGCAGTCACGAGCAGACAGAACAGCATGTGAGGAGGCCTTCGATGAGTGGAAAGGAGGTGGGCATGGAGGGAATGGGAAGAGTGTGGTAGACAGGATGGATGGATGGAGGAGGCCAGCCATCAGATCAGGCTGGGCCTCGAAGGCCGTGGGAATGAGCTGGGGTTTATCATGGATGTGGTAGGAGGAGGCAGCAGCAGCATATCAGTCTGTGCCTGGTAGGGAAGCAAGGTTGGAAACTGGGCTTGGGAAGATGCTTACATTAGGGCAGGCAAGTGGGCATGGGCTGGCTTCAGGTAGTGGCAGTGGTGTGCTCAGACAGATTCATTGGTCTAAACATCGAATTGATGGGACTGAGAATGAATTGCTGCAGGAGAAAAGAGAGGGTAAGGAGAGCATTCGGACTCTTCCCTAAGCGGCTGTGTGTCCTGTCCTTAGAGAAGGAGGTCTAGGGGAGGAGCTAAGTCATGGGGTTGGAGTGTGATTGTGGCCTCAAGGAGGGAGGGTTAGCATGCCAGCGTTGGGCCAGTCAGCACTGGCCACCAAGCCTGACAACCTGAGTTTGACCCCAGGACCCCATGGCCAGAGTGATCTGAGTCCTGCACATTACCTTCTGACCTCCACATTCTCTTCACCCTGAATAAATAAATGCAATAAACATTGTAAGATACAGATGCTCCCCACTAGAAATGTCACATGGGTACCACATAAGGAGTCCACAGGAGAGTTTGAGACTGGAAATATATATGCTTCAAAACCCTTAATCCCTACCACAGGGCCTTTGTACACGTGTGCGCCACCGCTGCCCAGTGGAAATTATTCATTTTAATATGTGTGACTGAATGTTATTGACAGCAGTGTTTGCTGACAGTCTAAGGAGGCATCTGGGGACGAAGAGATAGTAGAGCAGGGTTTGGGCAATGGAAGGGTCTTTATGCCGAGGAAGGGATCCGATTCTCTGAGGAATGAGCCTGTGCCTTTCTCATAGCCTACAAAGATCTGCAGTCTCGGGAGGAGACTCGAAATGCAGCCTGGAGGAAGAGGGGCTGGGATGAAAATGTCTACTATACAGGTGGGTGTCTCCTCTGCAGGTCACTGGTGCCTTTGCAAGTGGTCTGCTGGGAGACCTGAGGACGCAGGTCTCTGTAAGGCCAGCTAGCATCACTTGATTGCCTCTAGTGTGGGAACGCACTGTCTTGTTTGTTTGGTCCCCACCCCCATTTGAACTAGTGTCTTGCTGTACTGCCCAAGCTCATCCTGGTGGACCTTTCCCCTCAGTCTTCCAAGTTGCTGGGATTGCAGGCATGTACCGCTGTGTCCAAGTGGGAACTTAATTTGACATGCGTTAGTGGGGTTTTATCTTGTGATGCACATTCCATATGATACAATCCGTCCTGAGGCTTTAAGACTCCCACAGGCAGGTGATCCCTATGTGAGATGTGCCCCTGGGTCAGCTCTGCACCTTACAGAAGCTGCTGCTTCCTGTCTCTGCTGCAGGGAGGGCATTGAGAGTTTATGCATGGAATGTTTTGCCCTATCTACCATCAAAACACGCAGCAAATTTTTTGAGCAACTTTTTCTCAAAGTGTGGCCACTGCTAGAAACCCAGAGTCAGCAGATAATGACTGAGTCTTCACTCTGTGAAACTGTGGTGGGTGGGGTAGCGCAGGCCTATAAATAAATAAGATTCTGTCCCCGACCTTGAGGAGTTTACAGTTAATCTTCCACATGGCTACTTGGTGTGGGCAACAGTATGTCTGCTGAAGTAGGTGCATGAGCCTTGCTATGCCAACTGTGGTCCCAGCTGACAGTACTGGAATCCACTGGACACAATAGAAATGCCTAGTTAGCTTCTCCCAACCTTGTGGGAACTAGGCTTGTGGGGATTTGTCTATACAAGTTAAGCACAGAAAGCAAGAATCTAAACTCTGGGCTGGAGAGATGGCTCAGTGGCTAAGCTTACATACTGTTCTTAGAGAAGATCCAAGTTCATTAGAGAGGATCCAAGTTCAGTTCCCTGTACCCAGCTTGGGAGGCTCACAGCTGCCTGTAATTGCCACCCTAGCAGCTGTGACACTTTCTTCTGACCTCCATGGGCACTGTACTCATGTGCACACACCCACATGTAGACTTATAAATATTGTTAGAAAAATAGATAAAATCCTTAAAAAGAACTTACCTCCTGGGGACTTTCTCTTGACACCCCTAGCCCCATGGGCATGGCCTCCCTAGCTGAATGAGGGGCAGCCACACTGAATCAAACCTCAACCCTTAAGCTCTTACCTTGCCAGTGTAGACCATTGTAGTTCTTTTATTTTTGTTTGCTGTTTTTGATGCTGGGGATTGAATCCAAGACTTCACACATACTAATAAACATTCACCTCATCACAGAACCACACCTCTGGCCTTAGAATTATTTTTCTTCATATCTTCCTATGTTGTCCTTAATCTGTCCTTGCTTTTATATTATTAGGCTTAGTGTGTTTTGGTTGCTTTGGAAGCGAGGACAGAATCCAAGGGTTCCATATGCTAGGCAGGTGCACTGCCACCGAGCTGCCTCTCTAGCCCTCTGCTAGTTTCTTTTCACATACATAGAAAATGAATAAAAATGGTAAAATAGTCAGCTTATTACCACCGAAATCCTGTCTTATAAGCCGTTCTCCGCTGACAGCAGGGACTCCTTCCCATCACAGGTTTTGTGAGTTTTTGGTCAGGAACCAAGTGTGCTTGGTCTGTCTCAGGCACCCTGTAACCTCTGCTTCTCTCTCCATAGTCCCCTTGGTGCGACACATGGAGTCACGAATCATGATCCCTCTGAAGATCTCTCCTCTCCAGTGAGGCTGGCACTGTCTCCACCGCCTTCCCTTTCTCCTTTGGAGTAACCTGGAACAGAGGAGCTCCTAGGCCTGCTGGCATAGTTGTTTCTCAGCTCTGGAAGAATTCTGATGGGTTGTGTTCAGCTTGGAAAGGATGGTGTTTTCTGAGAACTTAGAGTTCTGTCTATACCTGTCCCTCCACTCTCCCAGGCCAGAAGTTTTTAATTTCCCAAATGAAGACTAGCAGCCTTTTATGCATTCACACATTTCCCTGAGACTCCTCATCTCCAGGCCACACGTCCCCAGCTAACACTGTGGACATGGCTTAGTTTCCTCCCAGGTGGCATGATAAGTAGTTAAGAGGTGGGGTGTGAAGAGGTATCAAACCAGGTATGGCCTCCAGGAAATCCCTGGTCTCTATTAAAAAAGCAAGTCTGAGCCTTAAAAACCTGGAACTGCCATAATCACTGAAGTCATCCAAGTCAGGAGGAGGCCCAGAATTCTACTCAGAAGGGCTGAGAAAGGATGGGAGGGAGAAGGATTTGGATACATGAGACAGACTTGAAGCAGGAACCCAGAAGAAGCTGGAACACAGGACTCAGCTTTTGGGTTTGAAACACAGAATTGGAAGATAGAACAGAGATGACAGGAGATCTTAGGGAGAGGACCCGAAGAGAGGCTTAGCCACTTTTTCCTGCATAATGCGGTTGAAACTTGAATATGTGTTCCAGCTCTTCTGCACTTCCTCCTTCCTACAAGCAAAAATACAGGCTGAGCCGGGCGGTGGTGGCGCATGCCTTTAATCCCAGCACTCGGGAGGCAGAGCCAGGCGGATCTCTGTGAGTTCGGGGCCAGTCTGGGCTACCAAGTGAGTTCCAGGAAAGGCGCAAAGCTACACAGAGAAACCCTGTCTCGAAAAACCAAAAAAAAAAAAAAAAAAAAAAAAAAATACAGGCTGAGACCTGTATTCCCGTCTTGAATTCCTTCTTCCCCACCTTGACATTCTGCCAGCCAGACCCTCATATTGCAGAACCACCAGGCCTGTGGAGTGGGTTCAGTGATTCTGGGGTCTCCTCAATGACCCCCATACCTCATGAACCCCTGCTTAGCATGGTTTTGCTACCATAGCAGGAAAATGTACTGGGATAGTTGATGGGACCAAATTAAATATTTACTGTAAGTTGTGGTGGTGTCTTCATCTGCAAGGACTCAGCCGTCTTCTAAGGCAGGGCAGTTTTCAGGGCGCCCTTGATCTCTTAGGGAAGACATCTTCATCCTCACCCCTGGGCAAGAGAAGGAGCTGTTTCTGCGGGACCAGGTATTCATACACGTTTCAAGCCCCAAACAAGCAGGATTTACTCCAGAAGTACCTGACGTTTTCTTTTTCTTTCTTTTTTTTTTTTTTTTTCCTTTGGATTTTTGAGACAGGGTTTCTCTGTGTAGTTTTGGTGCCTGTCCTGGAACTTGCTTTGTAGACCAGGCTGGCCTCGAACTCACAAAGATCCACCTGGATCTGCCTCCCGAGTGCTGGGCTTAAAAGGCGTGCACCACCACTGCCTGGCTCACCTGACGTTTTCAAATACTGCATTAGAATAGCGATTTTTGTCTTGGGGAAACAGTGATGCACTTATGTGAAGGGGGCACACATGTGATAGGGGATTATGTCCCTACTAATTTATTCCTGCCTTTGATGTATTGACTCTGATAGTGTTAAGTTAGCCAGGCGATAGGGGCGCACGCCTTTAATCCCAGCACTCAGGAGGCAGAGCCAGGTGGATCTTGGTGCGTTCGAGGCCAGCCTGGTCTACAGAGCGAGATCCAGGACAGGCACCAAAATTACACAGAGAAACCCTGTCTCAAAAAAGAAAGAAAAAGGAAAACAACAAGAAAAAAAATCCCAAAAGTCCAGTTAGAGCCGGACGGGCATGGTGACACATTCCAGTGCGGAGGGTGGATGTCGGTGAGTTAGAGATCAGCCTGATCTACACAGTGTTCACGGCCAGCCAGTGCAACATAAAGTCAGGAGGCAAATCCACTAGGGTCCAAACTAAGGCACAGCGACCCTCTTTTGCTTTCTTGAGCATACCACAAATTCAAGTGACTCGGCAGAGGGCCCACTGCTTTCGCGTTGGTGAAGGGGAACGGAGCACAAGCTCTTGGTCCTCATCGCAGCCGATTCCCAGTTTTCGATCAGAAAGGTTGCCCAGCCGCGTACACGCCCCTTCCTTGCTTCCCAAGCTGCATCTGGCCTTGGTGTCTCACTTCCGGCCAGTAGCTCTTTTTTTCCGCTTCTCTATGGTCGCGAGCCGGAAGTGGCTGCCGGGCTGGAAGGCGTGAGATCCATTGTGGTGAGCGGGGATAGGGTGATGCGGGGTGGGCTTGCTGGTGGCGCCGGGCGCGCGGGGGCTGAGGTGCGGTCCGCACCACGCGCATTCCCCGGGCTGGGGTCCTCACCTGCCGCCTTCCCCCAGGGCTCGTGGCTGTTTTCCTCTCCTGGGAACTAGCCGGAGCAGCATCCTTGTAGTCTCCGGACGGTGCTGATGGCAGGGGTAGTGATACCACCCTGCGTGTGGTCCTTTCGTGGGGGGTGGGGGGGAAACGCTCCCGTTGACGTTTGGGATTCCCCAGGTTTCCGGTGCCACCTTTGTGGCTTTTGTCAGATGAGCCCGCCACTTGATTAACTGTCACTCGCAGCCGCCCGAAGCCCTCTGAGACACGCGCGCTCCCTCCACTTAACGCGCCGCATAAGACTCCAAGGGGTCGTAGTGAAGAAAAAGTAGTGCGTTATATTGCGGGAGCATAAAGGCTGAGAGCGTGAAGTGTGGACGTTTGGAGTGGAGGGAGACTTGGCTTTTCTGATGTCCCCTCTGTTTCCTAGCTAGCTGGCCTGACTTCGTTTGTTTCATTAAATATCTTACTTATTTTTAAGAAAAAGAAAAAAAAATTTTTTTGAAGTTACACTGCAAAGGCTTGGGCAGTGAGGTACCACCTGCCCTGTTTTAATGAAGCTTTTAAATGCAGTCACTCTAGTCCATTCTGGCCGGGAGCTCCCCCTGTTGGCTTCACGTTCGCGAAGATCCTTCTGCCTCAGTCTCTCAAGTGTTGTGATTACTGATGTGTACCACTATGCCAGTCTCAGCCCATCCTCCCTCCGTTTTTTCCTTGGAGACAGGATTTTATTATGTAGTCCATGCTGACCTTTAACCCCTTATGTAGCAAAGAATGATCTTGAACTTCTCATCTTCCAGACGATACCTCCAAAGTATATTGTGAGCAAGCAATCAAAATTTTTCTTTGTGATTTTCATTTTTTGAGACCGTGTCTCAGTATGTAGACTAGGCTGTCCTCACAAAGATCCACCTGCCTCTGCTCCCCACCCCCGGAGTGCTGGGATTAAAGGTGTTCACCATTACACCTGGCCAGAATTTTTTTTTTTTTTTAATTGAAAAGGGATAGCACAGCATGGTCACTCACACGTATAATCTCAGCACTGGTGAGGCTGAGGCAGGAAGGTCTCCAAGTCGAATTCCGGAAAATCTTGTTGGTTTGTCTGTTTGAGACAGTCTCCATGTAGTTGGCTGCCCTGGCCTCAAACTCACAGAGATCTTCCTGTTTCTGCCTCTTGAGTGCTGAGATTAAAGGTATGCACCATCATGCCCAGCTTAATTCTGGAAAATCTGGTGTGTGTGTGTGTGTTTTCAAGAGAGGGTTTCTGTGTGTAATAGTCTTGGCTATCTTGGCATCTGTTCTGTAGACCAGGCTGGCCTCGAATTCACAGAGATCTGCTTGCCATTCCCTCCCAATTAAATCCCTGCTAGGATTAAAGGTGTGTGCCACCACTTCTTGGCAATTCTGGAAAATCTTAAAACTTTATTTATTTTTATTATGATGGTTGTGAGCTACCCAACGTAGGAACTGAACTGAGGTCCTCTGCAAAACAATACCTGCTCTTAACTGTTGAGCCATCTTTCCAACCCCTGACTCTGGGAAATCCTTTCTGACTTTTGAAGTGTTCCCTAATGAGCCTCTGAATTTCATTAGAATCCTGTTTTTAGTTCTAATGTCAATTAATTTAGGTCTTCTCTCTCTCTTGATTTTAGTTTGGCTAAGAGTTTGGCTATCTGGTTTGTCTTTGTTAAGAATCAGCTCTTGGGCTGGAGAGGTGGCTCACTGGTTAGGAGCACTGGCTGCTCTTCCAGAGGTCCTGAGTTCAATTCTCAGCAACTGCATGGTGGCTCACAACCATCTGTAATGAGATCTGGTGCCCTCTTCTGGTGTACAGGCATGCATGCAGACAGAACACTGTACACATAATAAATAAATCTTTTTTAAAAAAGTCAGCTCTTTCACTGACACTTCTTTTTCTCCTCTTTTTTAAAATTATTTATTTCTTTTAATATTATATGCATTGGTGCTTTTCCTGCATGCACATCTGTATGAGGGTGTCAGATCCATTGGAACTGGAGTTAGAGACAGTTGTGAGTTACAGACAGAGTACCATGCGGGTACTGGGAATTGAACCTGAGTCCTCTGGAAGAGCAGCCAGTGCTCCTAACTGCTGAGCCATCTTTGAAAATTTCATACAATGTATTTTTTTTAATTTTTTTTTCTATCAGCTTGATACAATACAAATTCTTTTTTTTTTTTTTTTTTTTTTTTGTATTTTGAGACAAGGTTTCTCTGTATCTTTGGAGCCTGTCCTGGACTAGTTCTGTAGACCAGGCTGGCCTCGAACTCACAGAGATCCCTCTGCCTCTGCCTCCCGAGTGCTGGGATTACAGGCGTGTGCCACTACCGCCCGGCTAGTACAAATTCTTATCCTAATAGTGAAATGTTTCACTGATGCTTGCCCAGTGATTGAGTAAAACCAAAACTTATTATAAGCCACAGTCATCCTAGGGATCCCCCTGCTATGTAGCCTCCCTGGTTCTGTGGGTTGCAGTCTGATTGTTCTTTGCTTTATATCCACTTATAAGTGAGTACATGCCATGTTTGTCCTTCTGGGTCTGGGTTACCTCACTCAGGATGGTATTTTCTAGTTCCATCCATTTGCCTGCAGATTTCATGCTGTCATCATACAATGTATTTTTAAATTATTATTTTTAAGTGTATATGTTTTGCCAACATGTATATCTGTGCACCATGTATGCCCTTGGTATTTGCCGAGGTCAGAGGGCACCGGGTGCCCTGGAACCATAGTTCTAGATGGTTATGAACTGTCAGATGGGTTCTGGGAGTCGAACCTGGGTCCTTTGGAAAAGCCACAGTGCTCCTAAACGCAGAGCTATCTCTCCAGTCCCTCTGGGAAATCTTTAAAAGCTTTCTCTTCTTAATAGCTCTCTGACCTGGAAGAACAACAATGTCATCATCAGAATCCAGCAAAAAAAGGAAACCCAAGGTGATCCGAAGTGACGGAACCCCGACTGAGGGGAAACGGAACCGAACTGATGCTGAGCAGGTGAGATTAGCCAGGGTTCCGTGCTGCTGGGAAACTGCGGACTGTGGCCAAATAACTGCCCGTGAGTGTGCAGGAGCTCGGGGTCACATGTCCAGACCAGGTGACTAGAATTCCTGTGAGTGGACAAAAGATAAATGTTCACAGCAGGTGCAAGCCCACTGGATATGATTAGTGTCTGCACAGAGAGCATGTTCCAGCATGCTGTTCCCAGCTTCCCTATCGTCCTAAGGTTGGCACTAATTGCACAGCTCTAGAGCTCCCGAGAGATTTCATTCTTGGTACCAGAATCATGTGCCCACAGGACTTCTGTGGCCAAGGAACGCTTGTCATCAGTGGGGTTTTCTATTCCTTTTATCTATTTCTCTGTCCTGGAATCTATCAAGATGATTCATGACTTAGAATGTAGGATTTTTTTGGGGGGAGGGGGTGCGTTGAGACAGGGTTTCTCTGTGTAGCTTTGCGCCTTTCCTGGGACTCACTCTGTAGCCCAGGCTGGCCTCGAACTCACAGAGATCCACCTGCCTCTGCCTCCCGAGTGCTGGGATTAAAGGCGTGCGCCACCACTGCCTGGCAGAATGTCGGATTTTTTTGCTTTGTTTTGTTTGTTTGTTGAGACAGGTCTCAGATAGCCCAGCTTAGCCTCAAATTTGCTATGTAGCTGAGGGCCTCAGGAAGAAAAGCCAGTGCTCTCAACTCCTGAGCCGTCCCTCCAGCCCAGGCAAAGACTTATAAACAAGTGCAGAAAACAAGTCCTCTTTTACCATCCAGAACTCATTAAAAAAAAGATTTTTATGTGTTTAAGTTTTTTGCCTGCATCATGTGTACAGTCCCTGCAGAGACCAGAAGAGGGTGCTGGTTCCTTTGGAACTGGAGTTAACAGACAGTTGTGGGTAACCGTGTAATTGCTGGGAACTGAAGCTTCTGCAGGAGCAGTAGATGCTCTTCACCACTGAGCTATTACTCCAGACCCTCTGAATTAATTCTAATCTATATAAATGGAATTTATGGAAATAGTAAAGTAAAGGAAAATGAAACAACAGTTTTTTCCCTTCGTTTTAGGAAATCAAAATTAATGTAGAGATTTTTTTTCCCCCCACTGATCAAGCATTGCTGATTTGTTTATTTTTAGGTCTTGTGCTATAGTCCAAGCTGGCTTGAAGTCAGCATTGTCCAGCCTCAGTCTTCCAAGTGCTGTGATTATAGGAATATGCCATAATCCCTGGCTAATAGTGCTGTTTAACTTTTTGTATGTGTGTGGTGCACATGTATGTGTGTGTATGCACACATTGTGTGTTAGTGTCTGCAGGCTCACAGTTGATATCTTCCTTGGCCAATCTTTACCTTAGTTATTGAGGCAAACATCTATGTTTATTTGGATGAGAAATTTCCTTGATCAGCATGGACAATGTGGTCCTATCTTGTTTGAAAATAAAATAAAAATCCACAGTATTTACAGTGAAGTTGTTTTGGGCTGAGATGTGAAGTGATAGGCAATTAAGAAAATGTGTGGTATGTATTTAGGATATGTGGCACTTGTGTGCCATGGCGAACATGTAATAACTGTCAGAGGACAGCTGTAGGAGTTATCTCTTCAGTGATGTCAGTCCAGAACTCAGGTCATCATGGTGACCCACAGGTCGTGTTTTACTTTGTTTTTGATATTTCTTTTTTCTGAATTCTTGACATCAGGCATGCATTACTCTGTAATCAAAAAGAGACAGAGGTTTCTATTTTGAAAACAAGAGAAACATTTTAGAGGCTGGAGAAATACTTCAGCAATGAAGAACTCAATTAAGTCCTCTTATAAAGGACCTAAATTAAGCTCCTAGTACCTGTGTTTGGTGGCTTAAATCACTATAGCTCCAGCTCCCAGAGTGGCTAATGCCTTTGGCTTCCACATGCACATAACCACTCTCAGATACACACATATACATAATTTTAAAATATTAAAAAGAAATTATTGACCAACCTGGTCTACAGAGTGAATTCCAGGATGGCCAGGGCTGTTACACAGAGAAACCCTGTCTTAAAAAACCAAAAAAAAAGCCGGGCGGTGGTGGCGGCGGCGGCGGCGGCGCACGCCTTTAATCCCAGCACTCGGGAGGCAGAGCCAGGCAGATCTCTGTGAGTTCGAGGCCAGCCTGGGCTACCAAGTGAGTCCCAGGAAAGGCGCAAAGCTACACAGAGAAACCCTGTCTCGAAAAACCAAAAAAAAAAAAAAAAAAAAAAAACAACCAAAAAAAAAAAAAAAAGGACAAATTCCATAAATGGCCTGATTTGGGATTTTCTTATAATGTTCTGTTGTGTGAAACAGTATCTCATTGTGTAGTTCCAGTTGGCCTGGAATCATGATGGAGACCAGACTGGTCTCACACCGGCAATTGTAATGTTCTTACATAACGAAGGTTCTCGTTCTTATTGTTTGTGATCCTGGCAGGGAGACTCACCATCTACCCAGGACCTCTCTTCTTTCCTCCACAGGAAGGCAAATACTACAGTGAGGAGGCTGAGGTTGACCTGCGGGACCCTGGCAGAGACTATGAGCTGTACAAGTACACTTGCCAGGAGCTGCAGAGGTTGATGGCCGAGATCCAGGACCTGAAGAGCAAGGGCAGCAAGGATGTGGTAAGGAGAAAGGCTGCGTGCCACACCTGGTGTGTTGTACAACTGGAGCTCCTCTTGTGGTCATGAGTCTCTTCCTGATCTTGTTCTCTGTCACGTGATTAGGGTTGGGGTCTGGAGGATCCAGAGATCTGCCTATTCACTTGTTATAATTTGTCATAGCAACTCAATCTCCCATTATAGTATTAAAAGTACAAGATAACTTTTTTCTATGACTTTGGTATTATCCACTTAATATTTTTTACATGTCAGGCATTTTGCTAAGTATTGAGAAGTATGTGCAAGTAAATTACAGGGCCCAAAATGAAATTATCATGGATGTTAAATGAATTAGTCAGGCAGATATAAAACTAAAAAGTGTATCTAAAGACTAGACGGGTGAGTTAAAGAATTCACTTTTTCCCATCAGTCTTACTTATTTTCATGTATGTTGACCATTATTTAAGATTATTACATTCTATAGTTCTATTATTATAACCAAGCTTTATAGCTATTATTTTTATTACTGTCATTTAAATTATTTATAGAGGCCAAATTTTATGGTATGGCATTGCTGTGGTGAGGGTCTCCATAAGATCAGTAGGTGTAGGTATTACTATGCGAACTGGTTGCATTTGCTTTTTCCTTCCTCCCTCCCTCCCTCCCTTCCTCCCTTCCTTCCTTCCTTCCTACATTCCTTTGTCTTTGAAACTCCCTTTGTAGATCAGGCTGGCACTGAACTCTTGCCTCTGCCTTCTGAGTGCTGAGGTTAAAGGCATGTGTCATCATGCATGGTCTTAGTCTTCTGTTTCTTTCATGACATTTCTTACTGTTCCAGGCTCCCTGTGGAGTCTGTGGAGTCTGCTTATGGCCCTGGATGATGGAGTTGGTTTGGCAGCGCCTAAGGTCTGAAGGGAACCAAGCTGTCATCTGTTGGTGATCTTTACCATTTTCTTTGTGCACAGGCCATCGAAATTGAAGAGCGAAGGATCCAGAGCTGTGTGCATTTCATGACTCTAAAGAAGCTTAACCGATTAGCCCATATCCGGTTAAAGAAAGGAAGAGATCAGACCCATGAGGTAGAGTGGACTTCTCATCCCTCCTCTCTGTCCTCTCTTTAACCGACCCTTCACCCCTTCTCTGACTTTGCTGATGCTCAGTCCCGCCCCAAATTGCCCTGCTGACCTTGTCTTCCTTCAGGCCAAGCAGAAAGTTGATGCCTACCACCTGCAGCTACAGAACCTGCTCTACGAAGTGATGCACCTGCAGAAGGAGATCACCAAATGTCTGGAGTTCAAGTGAGTTTGGGAGGACAGGGCTTTGACACACATGTGGTACTGCTTGTTCTTGCATAGGCCAGTGTGAGCCATCCCTTTATAGGAGCATCAGCAGTTTAGAAGACTGCAGGGTTGGGGAAAGGGTCAGTAGATTACTTTGAGCGGGAGAAGCTCAAGCAGTCCTTCCAAACTACACAAAGAACTGTGAAAGCCTCTCTGACCCTTTTGCGTTTTGGGCTCAGCACTTGTTAAAAGCAATTCTTTCTCCTCAACATGTATTATTATTATATTGGCCTACTGTGCTATAGAATACCAGTACCTACTTGCCCTATTGAAAAAATAATGTACCTGTTGGTCAGCATCTCCCTCTCCGGTGCTATTTTTGATAGTGTGACAGTTGAAAATGTATAAAAACAGCATGAAAGAATGTGATGCCCTCCTCTATAATCATTGCTTAGATAGAAATTGGCAAACTCATAATATAGTGGAACTCGGGCAGGTGGCCACAGAAAAGGATCATGGGCTCTGGATTTAGCATCCAGCCTCTGCCTCTCACTAACTGTGTGATCTTGGACACATTTGAAAAATGGAAAAAGAGCCAGACAGTGGTGGCACATGCCTTTAATCCCAGCACTTGGGTGGCAGAGGGCTACCTGAGTTTGAGGCAAGCCTGGTCTACAGGGTGAGTTCCAGGACAGCAGGGCTACACAGAGAAACTCTGTCTCAAAAAAACAAAAACAAACAAGAAAAATTTTAAAAAATAAAGTATAGCTAAATTATATAATAATAAGTAGTAATTTTTAAATGGAGATAAAAATCTTCATCTCTTAAGAACTAGATGAGGTGAGGATAGCATGTAGTAGGTTCTTATTTATTTATTTTTTGGTTTTTCTAGACAGTTTCTCTGTGTAGCCCTGACAGTCCTAGAACTTACTTCTGTAGCCCAGGCTGGCCTCAAACTCACAGAGATTTACCTGCCTCTACCTCCTGAGCGCTGGGATTACAAGTGTATGCCATCACCGCCTGGCATGGTTCTCATTAGTGTGTGGTGGTGCTGATGCTTATTTCTCCAGGACCTGAGCACTCAGCTGCATTAACCTAGCAGAGAACCAGGCTTTTCTCTTGTAAGGATATCTATAAACAAGCAGAAATTAAAGCCTCTAGATTTTTTTCCACATCCAGTCCGGCCAGTCTGGCCTTTTCTTTTCTTATACTTATTCATGAAATGTCTTAAAGTTAGGTGTAGACTCTTAGGTTTGTTCCTCCAGGGTGACATGTCATGTCTCTGTTTCACCGTGACAGCATAAGCCTAGGCTATGGTGATCCTGAGTCTCTTAGCCGGTACATCTCCTGTTCAGCCAGGAGACATCTGTAAATTCATTAAGCATCCTTCTGAAGCCTTCAGCTAACTCATGGGTAAATAGGTTGGGCAGCATGGGCAAATGACCTTGTGGTATGACACTAATAGCCTCTCGTCATACTGAAATGTCTGTCATTGAGCATTTGCTGAAGGAATTCCATGATCTCAAGTAGCTATAGGCAGGGCTGCATAGGGGTAAATTGAACAACTGCCCCCGCGAAGCCACAATTTGGGGTCCTGAAAATGGATGCCTGATAACTTAGTTTTTGCTTATAGGTCAAAGCATGAAGAAATCGATCTGGTCAGTTTAGAGGAATTTTATACAGAGGCTCCACCAAACATCAGCAAGGCCGAAATCACCATGGGAGACCCTCACCAACAGACCTTGGCACGTCTGGACTGGGAGCTGGAGCAGCGGAAGAGGTAGTGCTTCCTCCTTCCTGACCTCGTTAACCACACGGTGGCAGTGCTGGGTCATGACCCAGGGTTAGACAGAATGGTCTCCAGGACCAAATCCACGTCCTTATTAACTCACACTGGATTATTCCAACTTGACTGGCCTCTTTCTGGGCTCAGTGGTAGGATGTTTGCCCACCATGCCCAAGGCTCTTGGCTCAATTTTCAACACCATAAGGAAATAAAAAAACAACTGCACTGTAAGATGGGTCAGATAGCTCAGTAGGTAAGAACTTGTGCAAGAGTTTGGACCTGAATTTGGATCCCAAGCGCGTGTGAAAAAGCTGGATAAAGTGGCGTGAGTCTGGGGTGTAGAGATGGGCAGATCCCACGAAGTGTCTAGGCAGTCAGCCTATCCTAATCAGAGAGCTCCAGGTTCAGTGAGAGGATTACAAAGACAGTTGGACTGACGTCTGGTCTCTACATGTGCATGCACGGATGAGTACATCACACGTGTGCATGTGCACACACACATACACAGATTATAGTGAGAAGTAAGAAATTATAGGGAGGGTCATGGAGGAAAGCAGGGTAACATAACAAGATATGATGTATACGTATGAAAGTCACAGTGAATCCTGTTTGGTTAGTGACTGTATTAGTTGTTTTCCTTGTTTCTGTGACAAAGTCCCCTAGCAGAAGCAACGGGAGGGGAAGGGCTCATCTCGGCTCACCTTTGTTCCTGGTCAGGAAGAGAAGAACGCATTCCTGACTGCGGGCTTTGTCTTCTCATGTAGTGTAAGACTCAAGACCGGGGAGTGGTGCCGCCCGCTTTAAAGCTTTCCTGTATTTTAACTGTGTGTGTGTGTGTGTGACCAGCAGGGGCCAAAAGAAAGCATCAGACCCCCCCTCCCCCAGAACTGGAGTTACATGTAATGGCTGTGAGCTGCTAAAGAGGGTGGGTACTGGAAACTGAACTCCGGTCTTCTACAAGAGCAGAACAGCAGGTGTCCAGCCCCGCTACTCTCTCTCTCTCTTTTTTTTTTTTTTTTTTTTTTTTTTGGTTTTTCGAGGCAGGGTTTCTCTGTGTAGCTTTGCGCCTTTCCTGGAACTCACTTTGTAGTCCAGGCTGGCCTCGAACTCACAGAGATCCGCCTGGCTCTGCCTCCCGAGTGCTGGGATTAAAGGCGTGCGCCACCACTGCCCAGCCCCGCTACTCTCTTTTAGAGTAAGTTTTCCCACCTCGGTTAACTTAGTCAAGAAACTCCCTCTACGGTATTCCAGGGGGCTCATCCCTAAGTGATTCTAATTGTGTGTGGGGGTGGGATGAGGGGGGCGGTGCTCACATGTGGAGGTCAGAAGACAGCTGTGTTATTTCGTTCCTTCCACTGTGGGTTTTGGGACTTGAACTCTGATCATCAGGCTTGAGCAAGCGCTTTCAATGCTGAGTCGTCTTGCTGGCCCTCGTAGGTGATTCTGGATCTTACCAAGTTGGATCAGTATTAACTGTCACAACCCTATCCTTTGTTAAGATGACACCAGGCATATCTCTATGTCTCTTTTAGACCACAGTCTCCTACCTCTTGTTATCATAGGTTCATGGCCATTCTGTAATGCAAAATATATCCAGTCCACCTCTAAAAGTCCCCATAGTTTTTAACATTCTCAACACTGTTCAAAATCCCAAGTCCAAAGGCAGGGTTTTTCTATACTGCCTAGACTGGCCACAAACTACTGCTCCAGCCCTCTTCTTGCCCCAGCTTCCCAGTGGTTGGAACTACAGGCATGCTACTACCATGTCTAGGCGTGAAAATAGTTTTTGTCCTTTAAAATTTTAACCCCTGAGGGACTGGAGAAGTGACTCAGTGGTTAGGAGTGTACACTCACTCTTCCAGAGGATCCCGGTTGGTTCCTGTCCTGTTTCAGCTGCCTCACTACCACCTGTAACTCCAGCTGAGGGGAGCCAATGTCTGTCCTCCTTGGACACCCTCACTCATGCACATATACCCCCTACAAACACACACAAATCCATATGATTTAAAAATATGCTAATAACTGACAACTAAATCCATTTTTTTCCTTTTAAGTGATTACAAAATTTCTTTTTTTTTTTTTTCCAAGACAGGATTTCTCTGTGTAGTTTTGGTGCCTGTCCTGGATCTCACTCTGTAGACCAGGCTGGCCTTGAACTCACAGAGATCTGCGTGGCTCTGCCTCCTGAGTGCTGGGATTAAAGGCGTGCGCCACCACCACCCAGCATGATTACAATTTTTATTTTGGGTTTTTGAGATAGGGTTTCTCTATGTAGTCCTGGCTGTCCTGGAACACTTGATGTAGACCAGGTTGGCCTCAACTCACAGAGATCCACCTGCCTCTGCCTTCCAAGTGCTGGGATTAATTTTACCTATTCTTACTGTGTGTGTGCATGATGTATGTGGGTGTATGTACCATAATGAGTGTGTGGAGGCCAGAGGACGACTTGAGTTGGTTCTCTCCTTCCACCTTACGTGAGTTCTGGGATTGATCTCAGGCCATCAGGCTTGCAGAGCAAGTGCCTTTATCCAGACTTACTGTGTAACCAAGGGTGACTTTGAACTCCTGCTCTTCCTGCCTCCACCTCCCAAGTGCTAGGATTATAGGCAGGCACTCTCACGTCTAGATTTATGTGGTGCTAGGCAAGCACTGTACCACTAGGTTGTAGCTTGAACTCCTAAATCAACACTTTTGTTGCTTGTCTTAGTTAGCATTTCTATTGTTGTGATAAAACACCCTGACCAAAAGCAACTTGGGGAGGAAAGGGCTTATTTCAGTGTACAACTCTCAGGTCACATCTATCACTGAGGGAAGCCAGGCAGGAAGCTGGAGTCCTTAACTGGAGCAGAGACGATGGAGGAATGCTGGTACTGGCTTGTTCCCCTTGGCGTGCTCAGCCTGCTTTTTTATACAACTGAGGACCCCCAGCCCATAGTAGGCGGGCCCTCCCCCAGGCCAATCTGATGAAGGCATTTTCTCAACTGAGGTTCCTCTTCCTAGATAACTCTGGTTTATGTCAAGTTGACAAAACAAAATCAGGAATCAATCCCCCCACCCTCTGTCTGTAACTCTGGGGATCCAACCCAAGGCCTCATCAGTATTAAGCAAGTGCTTTACCACTGAGCTACATCCCCAGCCATGTGGATCGAGCTTGGAATTTTTATTTTCCACATCTGTAAGCATATGCCTGTGCTAGTCTTACAGTGCTCTGTAAACATTGTTTCAGGAGGTTATACCACAATCCTAGGTATGGAAAAATCACAAAAGCATTCCTCTGTCGGACTTTTTAGGTTGTTTCCTTCTTGTACTCTCATAAATAATGCTCCTTACAAGGTGTTTTTTGGGGCTGCAATTACTTTGTTTTGTTTTTGGTACTGGACTTGGAATTCAGAACCTCACACATGTGAGCAAGTATTCTGTCACTGGGCTGCATACAGCCCCAGACTGTTTACAGTTTGTTTTTTGTTTTTCATGTGAGACAGGGCCTTGCTGTGTGACCAAGCTGGCCTTACACTCACAACGCCTTTACTTTGTCACTCAGGTAAGCCTTGAATTTGGAATCCTCCTGCCTTAACCTCTTGGGAGGCTGATGTTACTAACTTGCACCCTCAACTTTTCTTTTTCTATTTTTCTTTTTCTTTTTCTTGTTTTTTTTTTTTTTATTTGTTTGTTTTTAGAGACAGGGTTTCTCTGTTTAACAGTCCTGGCTGCCCTAGAACTAGCTCTGTAGACCAGGCTGGCCTCAAACTCACAGAGATTCGACCAACTTTTCTTTCTTAATATTTTTGTTTGTTTGGTTGTTTTTATTTTGTTTTGTTTTGTTTTTTTTTTGAGACAGGGTCTCACTATATAGCCTTGGCTGGCCTGGAACTCGCTATACAAAGACCAGGCTGGTCTCACAGATCTACCTGCTTTTGCCTCCTGAGTGCTAGGATTAAGGGGTACGAAACTATGCCTGACTTTTTAACTTTTTTTTTGTCTTGTTTTAGGACTTTTTTTTTTTAACTAATCATAAATAGAGTCATCCATGTTTTTCTTTTTTCTTTTTTTTTAATGAATACTGATATTCTTTTTTTTTTTTTTTTTTTTTTTTTTTTTTTTTGGTTTTTCGAGACAGGGTTTCTCTGTGTAGCTTTGCGCCTTTCCTGGAACTCACTTGGTAGCCCAGGCTGGCCTCGAACTCACAGAGATCTGCCTGGCTCTGCCTCCCGAGTGCTGGGATTAAAGGCGTGCACCACCACCGCCCGGCTTCTTTTTTTTTTTTTTTTTTTTAATGCCAAATGCCATTTATTGAAGGAGGGAGGAGGTCTTAAATACAGACTTACAGCACAATGGGAGAACCCCGGAGGGCAGAAGTTCGCTACTGATGTTTTACTAATCATAAATAGAGTGATCCATGTTTTTCTTTTTCTTTTTTTTTTTTTTTTTTTGGTTTTTCGAGACAAGGTTTCTCTGTGTAGTTTTGGTGCCTGTCCTGGATCTCACTCTGTAGACCAGGCTGGCCTCGAACTCACAGAGATCCTCCTGGCTCTGCCTCCCGAGTGCTGGGATCAAAGGTGTGCGCCACCGCCGCCCAGTGATCCATGTTTTTTTGAGACTATAACATATGTGCTTTTTTCATTGCATACTCTATAGATACAGCCCTTCTATTATGGTGACTTGACTCCTAATTTGTAGGAGATTTCTAGGGCTTTTTATTGGCCTATCTGCTGTTTTTATTGCAGAAACATCTGTTTCTGTACTTGCCTTTGGTACAAGTTATGAATTTAGTAAACACAGTGTATGCTTCTTAGGAGTCTGTATCAATATTTTGCTCAGGTAGGCTGGCCTGTCACTCTCCTAACTGTCTGCTGTATACAGTCTGACTCAGAATCCATTCCTGCCTACCCCACTCCCGAAGTGTGGGTCTTGTTAAGTCATGTAGTTGCCTCATCTGATATGTGGAAAATTGGGGTCTAGCCTCTCAGGTAGCATGTGGTGCAGAGACCACAGGGAAGTACCCCCCAGTACTCATGGGCAAAACCTCTCAAGAGGTGTAGGCATGGATTCATGGACGAGTAACTGAGCTGAATGAATCACTTTGGGCAAGTCGTGGGATAAGAAGAGTCCCGGCTGCTCCCCTGAGAAACCTGTACCCGCATTAGGTGTAATAACATCCTTGAGTCTCTCACCCGTCCTGAAGTAAATGCCCTTGCTTAAATCTACATTAAAGTCTTTCCTGCACAGTTGATGACGTGCTTGCCTACTGTGCACAAAGCCCTGGGTTTGCACACTGGTCCTGCATAATATCAGGTGTGGCAGTGTACCCCTGTAATCCCAGCATTGGGGAACGTGGAGGCAGGAGGATCAGAAGTTGAAGGTTAGCCTAGACTACATGAGACTGTTTTAAAAAGAACAGGCTCTTCTTGGGCTGGAAGTACTTGCCACCATGCCTGAGGACCTCAGTTTAGTCCCTGGGAGCCACATTGTGGAAGGAGAGAATTGACTTCCATAAGTTGCCTTCTGATTTCCATGGGCATCCATATACATGTGTACTCACGCATCCAGACACACTCAGTAAATGCTTTTAAGAATTCAAAAAAAAAAAAATCCTCAAACTTGCTTTTTTAAAAATATCTTCTTGCTAGGCCTGATAGTATAGGTCTGTAGTCCTAGCTTCTTGGGAGGCTGGGCTAGCCTGAGCTACAAAGTGAGTTCTAAGTTGTGCTAGATAATTTTTTTTAATATTGTTTCTTTATGACTTTACATCTTCTTTTTAAAAATATTTATTTATGCCGGGTGGCAGTGGCACATTCCTTTAATCCCAGCACTCAGGAGGCAGAGCAAGGCCAGCCTGGTCTATAGAACGAGATCCAGGACAGGCACCAAAACTATACAGAGAAACCCTGTCTAGAAAAAACAAAACAAAAAATATTTATTTATTTTTTATGTGCATTGGTGCCAATGTGAGGGTACCAGATTCCCTAGAACTGGAGTTACAGACGGTTGTGACCTGTCATGTGGGTTCTGAGAATTGAACCTGGGTCCTCTGGAAGAGCAGCTAGTACTCTTAAACACTGAGCCATCTCTCTAGCCACATGCTGGCTAATTTTTTGTCAACTTGACACAAACCAGAGTTATCTGAGAGGAAAGAACCTCAACTGAGAAAATACCTCCATAAGATTGGCCTATAGGCAAGCTTGGGGAGCATTTTCTTGATTAATGTTTATGTGGAAGGGCCTAGCCCTCTGTGGTGGGTGCTAACCCTACTTAGGTGGTCCTTGGGTATATAAGAAAACAAATTGAGCCTGGCGGTGGTGGCACAAGCCTTTAATCTCAGCACTCAGGAGGCAGAACCAGGTGGATCTCGAGTTCAAGGCCAGCCTGGTCTACATAGTAAGTTCCAGGACAACCAGAGCTGTTACACTGAGAAGCCCTGTCTTGAAAAACAACAACAACAAAGAAAGAAAGAACGAAAACAAACTGAGCAAAGCATGAGGACCCAGCCAGTAAGCAGCGTTCCTCCACGGCCTTTTCAGTTCGGGCCTCCAGGCTCTTGCCGTGAGTTCCTGCCCTGACTTCCCAGAACTGTAAGATGAAGCAACCCTTTCCTCCTTGAGTTGCTCGGGGTCTTGTTGCTGTATTACAGCACTAGAAGCCCTAACTAAGACAGAGGTTAACATGTCTAACTTGGGGAAACCCTGTCTCAATGAGAAATAAGGAAAGAGAAGGAAAAGAAAAGTGTCTGTCGTCTGCGGATGGTGGCCCATTTGTGATCTCGTCACTTGGAAGACTGATGCAGGAAGCTTGTCCAGAGTTCACAGGCTAGCTTGACCCAGTTTCAAATAAAGGGCAAATGACGTAGCTCAGGTGATAACTGCTGCCAAGCCTGACAGCTTGGCTTTGATCCCCAGAAACCCATGGTAGGTCAATTGTTCTCTGACCTTCACATGTGTGCCATAATACACGTGCCCTCTCCCTGCCCACATACACAATAAATACATGTAATAAAAATGTTTTAAGTCCACGTCTTCGAGGATTTATGCGGTCACTGAGTATGGTAGTGCTTGTATGGAATGCACCGAAGGACTTGGCACATAGTGAGTGCTGGGTATCATTAGAATTGTCACAGCTGTTCCAGGTAGAGTGCGGGAGTGAGCAGGTATGTTGGTATCCCTGCAAGGCTTTCGTGACAGTGCCCTGTGTGCCCCTGTAGGCTGGCAGAGAAGTACCGAGAATGTCTCTCCAACAAGGAGAAGATCCTGAAGGAGATTGAGGTGAAGAAGGAGTATCTGAGCAGCCTGCAGCCTCGTCTCAACAGCATCATGCAGGTGAGCGTGGCTCTGCCTTCACCACAGAGCCACAGAGCCTCCTCATCCTAGCCAGGTTACACTGGGAATGCTTTTCTGGGAAGGACGAGTTCTGTTCTGGAGTAAAGGAATACCGGGCTCCTGGCTCTGGACTGTTGTTTATCCATAGCTTTCAGGTAACATGACTCAGATTTGTTAAGTTCGGTCCACCCCTTCCCTGCATGCTCCTCACCAGCCTGCTGTCCCTAGGCATTTAAACTTGCTTCCTTTCCTGAGAACAGCTGGAAGGTTCCCTAGACACCTCAGGGGCTGATGGTGAAAAGTAGATCACTCTCTGAAAAGAACTTGTCTCACTTTGAAAAGCTTCCACTTTACCCATATAGAATCAATCAATCAATCAATCTCTCTCTTTCTCTCTCTCTCTGTCTCTCTGTCTCTCTCTCTCTTCCTTCTCTCTTCCTCTCTCTCTCTCCCCCTCTGTCTATCTATAAAATGTGTATGTGTATACACACACACACACACACACACACACACACACACACACACACACACACGTGAGTTTGTGTATATGACCTGATTTTTGTTTGCTTGTGATGCCAGGTTTGGTCTAAATCCTTTATTTTTATGAAGAAAGATAAATGGCTAATATAGAGGAACTAGAGAAATTATAAATCCATTTTTCTAGGACTTGGCCAGGTCTGCCCATCTTCCCTTCCTAGACATGGAATTAGAGTTGTTAACAAAAATGTATTTTTCTGGTAAAACTTGATAATAGGAGAAAAAGAACATGAAGCTGGGCTGCCAGTGGACCTGGGAAGTTGAGGCAGGAAGACTGAATTTAAGGCCAGGTGGGAATGAATAAAGAGCGGACTCAGGCTACTTAGACAATTTTGCAGGACTATTTCTCAAAGAACCAACAAGCTGGGTGTGGTGGTGCATGCCTTGAGGCCAGCCTGGTGTACGTAGAAGTTCCAGACTAGCCTGGTCTACATAGTGAGACTCTGTCTCAAACAAACAACACAAAGAGAGAAGGGGAGAGATGGAGATGAAGGGGAGCAGGAGAGCGAAGGTGAGAATGGGAATTAGCAGTTCCGGTTGTATTCAACACCCCAGGCCCTCTGCACTGCTCTGTGTTAGGTGTGGTGCCACCCTACTGCCTGATAGGCCATGTAGAGCATACCACTCGTAGGGCAACTAGATAAAAGATCTATTACTAAACAAACAGTATAATTTCACTTGTGTGCTTTGGTTTGTGGTGTGTCTATGTGGAGATTATATATATGCATGAGTTTTGTGTGTACTTTGTGAAAAACTTGGAGTCATACCAAACCATTAACAGTTACCTTGCCAACTGCGTGGTTTTGTTTCATAAAATAAACTTGAATATTCCTTTTATCTTTTTCCCCTTTCTTTGTTTCTCTCTCTCTCTCTCTCTTTCTTTTTTTTTTTTTTTTTTTGTCTTTTGAGAGAGGGTCTCGAGGGGGTTGGGCATTTAGCTCAGTGGTAGAGTACTTGCCTAACAAGTACAAGGCCCTGGGTTCGGGTCTCAGCTCCAAAAAAAAAAAAAAAAAAAAAAAGAAAGAAAGAGAGGGTCTCTCTCTACCTCTCTACATTGCCCTGGCTGTTCTGGAACTCCCGATGTAGAGCATGCTGGCCTCAAACTCAGATCTGCTCATCTCTGCATCCTGAGTCCTTAATCCCAGCACTGGGGGGGGGGGGGGGGGGGGGCGGGGGACGACCAGAGGCAGGAGGATCTCCGTGAGTTCAAGGCCAGCCTGGTCTGCAGAGTGAGTTCCAGGACAGCCAGGGCTGTTACACAGAGAAACCCTGTCTCAAAAGCAAAACAAAACAAAACAAAGCAAACAAACAGACAAACAGCAAACGAAGCGATCGTAAGCACCCGTGTGGTAGACTGAAGCGATCATAAGCACCCGTGTGGTAGACTGAAATGTGCCCCTGTTGCTTGCAGGCGTCCCTCCCTGTGCAGGAATACCTGTTCATGCCCTTTGACCAGGCGCACAAGCAGTATGAGACGGCCAGGCACCTGCCGCCTCCCCTCTACGTGCTCTTCGTGCAGGCCACTGCATACGGGCAGGCCTGCGGTGAGTGAGGGGCAGGGGGGGGGGGGGCGCTGAGGGAGAAGGAGCCATAGGGAGGAAGAGCTGCCTGCCAGGAGAGTTCCCCAGCTTTGCCCAGGAGCCCTCAGGTGGCAGATGCTGCCTCCCCTTTGCTCCTTGAACCAGCTAGCCTGAGGCTTGACTCATGTGATGGGCATTTCAGAGTGGATGGCTTTGAATCTTTCTGAACCTGGCTGTGTAGCTCTTCGGTACAGCGCCCAGGCAGCCTATGTAGGCTCTCAGGTGCTCAGTGTCTCCTTTGTGGTTTGGGGGTGGGGTGCTTGGTGAATTCAGGTCCTAGGCAGCACTCCCAGGCTTTCCCATGCCCAGGCTCAGCCTGCATGACTTCCTGGTGAATTGCCAGGTGACAGGATGAACCCCCAGTGTGCTCAGGACAGCCCGCGAACTCTGCGAAGGTCTTAGAAAGGTTTTTGATGTGCTCCAATGCAGCTTCCACTTAGCACTAAACTTCTCTTCCTTGTTCACACTTTACCCCATGGCATCAGAAAGACCTGTGCATGTCCCTGTGCACGCCCCTGTCCCAGCCATGGCACCAAGACATTACTGTGTCTTTTCTTGTGTCTTCTTGGTCCGTCTCGTCCTCTCCTTCCCCTTTGTTCTCTTCCGTTGCCATCATCAGCTCATATGAAATCCTCCTCCCAGCCCCCTAGACAGGGTGAGTAACTTTCTTTTGTGTTTAAAGTTCTTCCGTTTCCACTTCTGTTTTCCTGTAGAATTCAAGACTAAACTATTAAAAAGAATATTGTAGGTAAGGAGTGTGATTCTGTGGTAGAGTGATTGTCTAGCATGTGGAGGATGAGTATGATCCCCAAGACAGTCTCCAGTGCTCACGTGGGGGTCACCAGCTTGTTAGGGCTGGGCTGGGCTGGTTTGTGTATTATTTCCAGATATAAAGCAGAAGTTGGCTATGGGGGAGGTTTTCCTTCCTTTATAGTGTAGCTGGGCGAATGGTATCAGGGTTCAGTGACATTCTTACCCTTAAGATAGAGGAGGAGGAGCTGGAGTGTAGCTTAAGCCCTATATTCCATCCCTACTACCATCAGGGGGAAAAAAAGGACAGAGGAGGTAGAGTGTGGCTTATTTGCTCATAGCAGTAGGATCCTGGAGTTCCATATCAGGCAAAGTGTGTGGAACAGATTGTTAACTGAGTGCTTGAGAGCCAAGCCCAAGGGAATCAACCTGGAGAGGACTCTGCTGTATCTGTTCCTGGTGGTGCTTTCTGACTTCACTGAGCATTAGGTTTCTCTAAATGTCTATAATAATAGTATGCCCCTAGACGGTTGTCATGAGACTTAAGAATGTATTTACTTGTTTATTTTGTGGTGCTGGGGACCAAAGCCACAGCCTTATGTGTGTTAACTGTGTGCTCTTCTGTGTTACATTCCTCACACCAAAACTAAAGTAACTAAAATTTAACTGCCGCTCAACCAACAGTTGCTGTTCTCCAAGTCTCCATTTTTTAGATATAGAAATGGAGCCTCAGATCAGTAAGTTATCTCCAGGTCACAAATTCAGTAATGAGTGGCATAGGAATCAGGTCTGGGACCAGGCTGCAGCATCCATGTTCTTACCTACTCTTCTCCGCTGCCCTGGGAAACGAGACAGCGCTGACCAGGTGCTCGGTGACTGCAGGACACAGGAACTTTTTACAGAGCCGCCCATCATCTCTGGGATGTGGCTGGGTGTGGGCTTCTGGGAGAGAGCTTTTTAGGACAGCTGGTGGAAGAGTCCTTTGGCGTGGCAAACCCAGGGCTCGAGTTCCTGGGCGTTGCACCGCTCTCAGGGACGCCTAGCTGGGAAGCAGCACTTGGGAGTGTCTGTTCTTAGCAAACCACAGAGAGAAGATTTAGTTCTGTCTCCTTCCTCTGTGTGGAGTGAGTTTGCCCTCCCCCTCAGTCAGCAAGGAACGGGGGCAGGTGTTGGAGAAACACAGCTGCCGGGTTGGCTTGCACTGAGCAGCCTCCAGCAGCGTTCCCAAGAGGCCCCTCCTTACCTCCAGATAAGACGTTGTCGGTGGCAATCGAAGGCAGTGTGGACGAGGCCAAAGCTCTCTTCAAGCCCCCCGAGGACTCTCAAGGTAACATGGTGATAGGGATACTTCACCCAAGGATACTAAGTCACTCCCAAAGGACCAAGAGTCCTTGGAGAAATAGCTGGACTGATGCAGTATAGCAGCAGTCAGTTTTAGGGCAGGCCCAAGAGAACTCAGTTCCCAGAATCACCCAATGTAGCCTTTGGATTTCAGCTCTGCCACTTTGACTCTGAGGAAGGCGCATAACATATTTTGAGGCTGTTGACTCATTGTAGAAGGTAGCTGGCAGCTGGTTACAGGTTAATAATGCCTGTCATACACAAATTCTGGAGGTTGCAGTAGGAAAACTGCCAGAGGTTTGAAGCCAAATTGATCTATAAAACAACTTCCAGACCAGCCAGGGTGACATATTAAGACCCTATCTCAGTACCCCCTGCAACCCCTGAAAAGAAAAATAAATTCCTCATATAATCATTGTGTGGATTACATGAAAGAACAGTCTTAATTTCTCACACAGCAGCCCTCTAATTATACAGCGGCCACTGTTACTTATGCTGCTCTTAGAACCAATCGTACACCAACGAAAGGCTTTATGCACCATAAAAATGACATTTAAAAGACTCTCGAAAAACAGGGCCGGGCAGTGGTGGCACACACCTTTAATCCTAGCACTTGGGAGGCAGAGCCAGGCAGATCTCTGTGAGTTCTAGGCCAGCCTGGTCTACAGAGAGAGATCCAGGAGAGGCACCAAAACTATCCAGAGAAACCCTGTCTGGATAAACCAAACAAACCAGGACTGGAGGCTGGGGAGATGGCTCAGCAGGTAAAGTGCTTGCTGCCAACATGAAGACCTCGTTCTGATCCCTAGCCCCACATCAAAACCAGCAGGGTTATGCAGTGCATGCTTTATACTCCAGTACTGGGGGTGAAGAACAGCAGATCCCAGGAGCTGGCTGGCCAGCCAGTCTAGCTGGAATGTCCAGTGCAGTAAAAGACTGCCTCAAAAATAAAGAACTAAATGAACAGGTGGGCATGGCAGCACACGCCCTTAATCCCTGCACTCAGAGGCAGAGGCAGGCAGTTCTCTGTGAGTTTGAGGCCAGCCTGGTCTACAAAGCGAGTTACAGGACAGTCAGGGCTATATAGTCCCTGTTTCAAAAGAAAACAAAAATAAGGTGGAGAGATGATTGATGAGTGCATTCTGAGTACAACATCTGGCCTCCTTGTGTGCCCATATGGGGGCAAGTTCACACACACACACAAACACACAAAACAACAACAACAAAAACCCAGGCTGGTAGGTTTATAAATTGCTCTTCCTTTCCATTATGTTTTTTTTTTTCCCTCCGGTTTTTTGAGACAGGGTTTCTCTATATAGTTTTGGTGCCTGTCCTGGATCTCGCTCTGTAGACCAGGCTGGCCTCAAACTCACAGAGATCTCTCCTGGCTCTGCCTCCCGAGTGGTGGGATTAAAGGCGTGCGCCACCACCGTTCGGCCCACTATGTTTTCTATGCCAAGTAAGGAGCAGCCAGTTAACTCAGTTCTCATTTGAAGACACTCATACAAAGGACGGTCTGGATGGGCCCCTGAGTCCCCGTGGTTGAGGTTTGTCGTCAGGGAGCCTGTGCGGCTATCCCACTTCTCACTTCCTTCTCTGTGTGGCTTCAGATGATGAGAGCGACTCGGACGCTGAAGAGGAGCAGACCACGGTGAGCCCCGTTTCCATGCTGATGTTTTCACGGAGCACAGTCCTGAAACCCAAAGAAGACTGAATAAGTGTCTGCTGGGACAGGAGCCCGGCAGCTGGGTAGCTGAGGCTCTGGGAGGCATATAACTCATGCTTGGGTATTTCTTTTGTCCAGAAACGGCGTCGACCCACACTTGGGGTTCAGTTGGATGACAAGCGCAAGGAGATGCTGAAAAGGCACCCACTGTCCGTCTTGATTGATCTGAAGTGCAAAGGTCTGACTGTACGCCCTTAGTTCCCATAGTTCCTAAGAGCTTGGCCAGTTGTTGGTGCAAAGGGTCTAGTAAACTAGAGACTCTTGGCTTATAGTATTTCAATCTCCCAGTTTTACTTTGCCTCCTTTTTTACCATGTAGTGTGTGTGTGTGTGTGTGTGTGTGTGTGTGTGTGTGTGTGTGTGTACGCACATACCACTGCAACAGGCACATAGAAGTCAGAGAACAACATGGGGAATTGATTCTTTCCACCATGAGGGTCTCAGGAATTGAGCTGAGACCATCAGGTGGCAAGTGCCTTAACCCTCTGAACTGCCTCCCTGACCATTTTTCACTTTACATGGAGTCGTGGTTTTTGTTTGTTTGTTTGGTGGTGGTTGTTGTTTTTTGAGACAGGGTTTCTCTGTGCAGTTTTGGTGCCTGTCCTGGATCTCACTCTAGACCAGGCTGGCCTCGAACTCATAGAGATCCGCCTGGCTCTGCCTCCCAAGTGCTGGGATTAAATGTGTGCGCCACCACCGCCCAGCGTGTTTTTGTTTTTATTTTATCCTTTTGAGATGGGGGTTGGGGAGGGTCCTTACTATGTAGTCCTGGCTGTCCTAGACCTTGCTCTATAGAACAGGTGGCCTTGAACTTAGAGATCCTCTTGCCTCTGTCTTGCAAAAGCTGGGATTAAGTGTTTGTACCACCACACCTGATCTCTGATGTGCTGATTCATAAATGATCTCTTCTCTCCCTGCTCTCCCAGACAACAGTGTGCTTCATCTGACTTTCTACTATCTCATGAACCTCAACATCATGACAGTGAAGGCCAAAGTGACAACTGCCGTGGAGCTGATCACCCCCATCAGTGCAGGGTAGGGAAGGCACTGCGGATGGGGGTGCGGGGAGAGCCGCTGTTCTCCAGTGCTCCCTCAGACTGTGAGAGGCTCCTGTGCCATGCTGATCACCCCCATCAGTGCAGGGTAGAGAAGGCACTGCGGATGAGGGTGTGGGGAGAGCCCCTGTTCTCCAGTGCTCCCTCTGACTGTGAGAGGCTCCTGTGCCATGCTGACTTGTGTTATCGTGTCCCCACAGCATGGGAGTCCTGGCACATCACTGAGATTTAGAAGTGCTTTACGTTCGTGAAGCCCTCTTACTGCACAGCAGATGAAACAGGTGATAACAGCGTATCTGCTGTGTAGGGCAGAGCCACAGGCTGTTGTAGCCAGTCAAATGCATGTAAATGCATGAGTGAGCTATGGGAGACAGGACCAAATTGACAGATTTGGGCCCTTCCTTCTTTTCCCATTTCTGTCCCAAGGTGCCGGGATTTTTGTTTCCCAGCTCGGTTCAGTCCCCAGGTTTGTCCTTAACTTGGTGGTAAGTGGAGGATTATAAACAGGCAGCAGCAGCATCCCCAGGAAGCCCCTGACCACGGCAGTCTTGTTCTCTAGTCCAGAGTAGCAAGAGCAGAGGACAGAAAGAACCTGGGAGTAAACTAGCCTACACTTAGAGGATCACTGCCCTGCCTGGCCTGGCCCTGCCTGGCCTGGCCCTTCTGTCACCTGGAGAAAGAACACTGAGGCCCATTAAGGCACAGGGCTGGTGCCTCCCCATTGTGCCAGATGGGAGGAGTCTCCTGACTCTAGACACCCCCCTCCCCACACCACCACCACCACCATCCCCACCCCCCACCCACCCCCACCCCCCCCCACCCCCGCACTTAGGTCTATACTCTCTCCAGGCTTTTGCAACCTTTGCTGGGTAGTGCTGGGCTACCTGGGGACATACCGGCTGCAGTTGACCGTGTTCCCAGCAGAGGGAGTCCAGAGCTTGGTTCTGAGTTCCACATCGCAGCTGGGTCTTTCATTCACTGAACAGTTCTAGGATACTCCTTTTGAGAGGGGTGTCACTGTGTTGTCCTGGCAGGCCTGGAACTGGCTATATAGACCAGGCTGGCGTCCGACTCATAGAGATCCTGCTGATTCTTGAATTCAAAGTAGTGAGATCCTGGGCTATGTTGTGAGTTCCAGGCTAGGATACATAGTAAGATCCTATCTTCAAAAGAATGAGATTAGGGAGGTAGAAATGCTAAGCGATCTGATCATTACTCATTGAATTAATCTGTCAAATGACTACACCATGCCCTACAAATGTATATTATTTTTCCATATGTACAATATAGAGAAATTGCTCACAAGTTGGTGCCTCTCTAGTATACTCAAGGACTTGGGCTCAGTGTCCAGCCCAAAACATAAACTGAATTGTGCGTGTAAACTTATTGCTGTAATCATTTCTGGCACTATTTCTATTTCTAATTTCATGTGGCTTTCCTCCTCCAAAGTGGTGCCCTGGCCACCGGATAACGTGTGTCCGTGTGTGTCTGTTTGTATATGTGCAAGGACACATATGTGTGGAGAGCAGAGGGTTGACATCAGCTATCTTCCTCAGTCACTTTCCACCTTACTTTTTAAAACAAGGTCTCCCTGAACTTGGAGTATGTGGATTGAACTCAGGCTACCATGCTTGTGTAGGGAGCTCTTTACCAACTGAGTCACCTTCTCAGCCCCACTGAAATATTCTGGAAGAGATAACTTAAAAACAGCAAAACAAAATACTAAAGACTCCTGTTCTCAGGGGCCAGGAAGATGGCTTATTGGTAAAGCACTTGGTACGCAAGCCTGAAGACCTGAGTTCAATTCGTAGAACTCCTATAAAAAGCCAGGTATGACTGTTATCCTAGTGAGATGGGAGTTTGGGGCAGGAAAATCAGCTGGAAGCTCTCGGCCCAGCTTGCTTGGTGTACTCTGTACCATGGCAGAAGCAGGAGAGACCCTGTCTCAATAAGACAGAAGACAAGAACTGACTTGTACATGGATTTTTCTTTGGGCTGCCAGCTGGAAAAAAATGACACAGAGACTTATTATTAATTATAAAAGCTCAGCCTATACCTTAGGCTTGTCTCACCAGCTCATAAATTAACCCATTTCTATTCATCTACGTGCTACCACATGGCTCGAGGCTATTACCTCTCCTCCTGCCTGTCTGTTCCCTCTGTGTCCGGCTGGTGACTCCGCCTTTCTTCTTCACAGCGCGCGCTCTGTCCAGAAGTCCCTGCTATACCTCCTGCCTAGCTATTGGCCATTTAGCTTTTTTTTTTTTTTTTTTTTGGTTTTTCGAGACAGGGTTTCCCTGTGTAGCTTTGCGCCTTTCCTGGAACTCACTTGGTAGCCCAGGCTGGCCTCGAACTCACAGAGATCCGCCTGGCTCTGCCTCCCGAGTGCTGGGATTAAATGTGTGCGCCACCACCGCCCAGTCATTTAGCTTTTTATTAAACCAATCACAATGTCATATTTTTACACAGTGTAATCAAATATCTTATAACTTAAATTAATCCATATCTTTTAATTTACGTTCTTTTTTGTGGCTCGGTTACTTTTACTTTGTACTACCCATCCTGCTTCCTGTGCACCTGGCTGGTGACTCTGTCTTTCTTCTTCCCCTAGACCTCTCTGTCCCCAGAAGTCCCGCCTAACCTCTTCCTGCCTCGCTGTTGGCCATTCAGCTTTTTATTAAGCCAATCACAGTGACATATCTTTTTTTTTTTTTTTTGGTTTTTTTTCAAGACAGGGTGTCTCTGTTTCGGTGCCTTTCCTGAATCTAGCTCTGTAGACCAGGCTGGCCTCGAACTCACAGAGATCTGCCTGGTTCTGCCTCCCGAGTGCTGGGATTAAAGGCATGCGCCACTGCCACCCAGCCACAGTGACATATCTTTACACAGTGTAATCAGATATCTCAAAACACTGACTACTGAAAATTGTCTTCTGTGTGCCACAGTACACATGAACACAAAATAAAAATACTGTTCTTTCTGATCAGATAGTGTGAACTTTGGCCTCTCTACATACTAGCATCATGAGCTTCAATGTCCTACGTTTCAAAGCCTTGAATTTCTACCTTGAGAAATGGAATGATAATCCTCTGTGCTTCACAATATTGTGAGAGTCCACTGGCTTGAAGCACATAAAGGATTTGATGCACAGGAAACAGTCAGTGAAAGATCGTAGTAGAACCAGCTGTGATGACACACGCCTTTAATCCCAGCAGGCGGTGGGGGAACAGAAGCAGGCGGATCTCTCAGTTCCAGGACAGCGTGGTCTACAGAGTGAGTTTCAGGACAGCCAGGTCTACAGAATGAGTTCCAGGAGAGCCAGGGCTGCACAGAGAAAGCTTGTTTCCAAAAACAAAACAAAAAAGGAGGTGGTTGCCATCATAAGAGCCGAGTGGTACATTGCCACTCCCAAATGCCCAGGTCCACTTTGAGACACCATGTTGGCTGACATTCTCACTGCGGTCTTTTCTTCTGTAGAGACTTGCTGTCTCCCGACTCAGTCCTGAGCTGTTTGTATCCTGGAGATCATGGAAAGAAAACTCCAAACCCAGCCAATCAGTATCAGTTTGATAAAGTTGGGTGAGTAAGCAGGGCTTCAGCCTTCCCTGATTCTGTGTCTGCATCTGTTAGTTCAGGCCAAGCTGGAGACCTTTTAAGGCCAGAGCACCTTGGGGCTGGAGGGGACATCTTCCTATTTTTGCATAGAAGGCAAAGGGATGCCATGGAAAGATGAAAACTTGGGGAGTATAGGGACCCAAGAGTTAGGGATGTGGTTCAATAGTGGTATGGTGGGTTAGATCCCCAGTATCATAAAAACAGACAAACAAAAAACCAGCGTCGGCAATAAAATGAATGGCATGTTAATTCTCTTGAATAGTCAAGATTTTAAAAGCTATTTTCTGAGTGAGTAGAGCAGTGAAGAGGTCAGTGACTGCACTTTTGAGATTTGCTTTATGAGGCAAAAAGAAGTGAATATTGGAGATGAAGTTCCAGGTAGAGGTTTTATGCAGTTAAGGAGCTTCAGCTTGTGGGACTGGGATTGGCCTGTTTTTGGGGTACTGGGGAATGCCACAGTGTATACAGGAGGACTGTGTCCTGGGGCCAGGCAGTACTACGGATTGAGCCTAGGGCCTGTGTAAGGACTCTGCTCCTAAGCTGTGTTCCCAACTCACAAAATTATTTTATTCTGTCTTCTTTTCTACAGAATCCTGACTTTGAGAGACTATGTACTTGAGTTAGGTCACCCCTACTTGTGGGTACAGAAGCTGGGTGGCCTCCACTTCCCCAAAGAGCAGCCCCAGGTGTGTACTCTGACCCTGCCTCCTTGGCTGAGGGGCTGGACAGATTCCAGAAAGGCCTCTGATAGCCTTGTAGGGTTTTGATTCAGCAGAACATCTTCCTTTGAGGTTGTAATCTGACCTCCAGCCACTCCGGGCACTAAAATACCCTACCTGGTCTTCAAGCATTGAAACAACTTGGCTTTCCCTATGAGCTTGGTCGCCTTATAAACCAAAGATAACTTGGTCTTGCCCCAGATATAGCCCAGCTACAGCTTTTGCTGTCCTTGGACTTGTGTACAAGGCTGCTGCAGATGAGAATGGGCAAAATCCCGGGGGCCAGACACCCCAGAAGCCTGCCTTTTCTCAGGAGCCGGTCACAGCCTCAAGGGAACCCAGTATCTTGTGCTAACACTGCCAGGGCTTAGTATGTGACCTGTTATAGTGGGTAAACACTGCCAGGGCTTAGTATGTGACCTGTTATAGTGGGTAAACACTGCCAGGGCTTAGTATGTGACCTGTCATAGTGGGTAAACACTGCCATTCCCAAACAGCACCCACCTCGGGACATGGCTGTGCAGTCTGGCTGGTCCCAGGAGAGGTCTGCGCAGGAAGGAAATGGAACTCTCACGTGTATCCTTCATTGTCATTCACTATTAGCACACAGTGGTGGCTGACCACTCACAGAGCGCCAGCCACATGGAGACCACCATGAAACTGCTGAAGACCAGGGTGCAGTCCCGCCTGGCTCTGCACAAACAGTTCGCATCCTTGGGTAAGCTGGGGCCGGAGCTGGGGCCTGGCAGCCACTAGTCAGCACAGGAGGAGTGAGAGCCACTCCTTTCCCTCACACTTGTAAACCCTGATTACAGGTCAGAGACCCATGGTCCTGGCCTTCCTGAGCACTGGATGGTAGGTTCCATGGGGAGCTCAGGTCCGTTCAGGCAGAGGTCTGAGCTGCCTGCAGAGTCCTTAGTTCTGTGCCAGCCCTCCCAGAGGACACCATAGCCATTGGCACAAGTTCACAGATTCATCACGGCAGCTTGTCCTAGGTCCTCGTTTGTGCACTTGGCAGGTATCTGGTGAGAGTCTAATTCATGCTGGTACCCCATGTAGCCCGAGGGGAGGGACACTGATTGTAGCTATACAGGGGTCGCCCTATTATCCTTTCTAAGACCTGTTCCGCTAGTGCTTCCAAGGGCACAGCTGAGCTGCTCGGATTTTCTCCTGAGCTCGAAGGTGGTTATGATGAGCCACTGACCTAGGTAGTAGCCATATGGCTACTTTTAGTTCATTCAGTGAAAACTCGATGGGTATTTACAAGGCACTTGTAGGGTGGGGGTAAGGTTTTGGAGGGAGTCAGACTTTGGGGTATTAGAGTCACTGTCAAGCTAGGCATTGGGTTTCCAGAACCCAACTGGAGACAAGACCCCTCTTGCCCACCTCCAGGCCGGTTCTCTGGTTCCATGTGGACGTGATCTCCAGGGCAACACCACCTGTCCCTCAGGCCTTGCTCCCCACTCAGCATTGCCAACATGACCAAGGTTGGGTGGTTGTCACCTGGACAGTGTTCCCTGTGTCAGCGGTGTATTGTTTCTGGGAACACCAGCAGGGAGCCGACACAGAACACTGCAGTCGGTTTTTCTGTCAAGGTCAGCTGAGAAAACACAGCCCTCTCAGCCATTTGATCTAATTAACAGTCCCTGCCGCAGGGGCACTGACGCTACTTATGGCTGCAGGGATTTGTTTTGCTAGACATTGTCTGCATTAAGGATAAAGCACCCGTGAATGCAGGTGCAGGGTCTGCCCACAGGCACGTAGCCCTGCATGAAGTGGATGTCAGGTGGAAATGCCTCTATTCCTGGCATGGGATGAACTGGTACTTCTTGAGTAACCAGGTGTACTGGACAAGTGTCAAGGCCACCGTAACCCTCGAGCAAGCCACAGCTGTGGTACTTGATTTCTGCCTGTAATGCCTCCTGCCTTGCTCTCTTTTAGAACATGGCATTGTGCCGGTTACCAGTGATTGCCAGTCCCTCTTCCCTGCCAAGGTGGTTTCTCGCCTGGTAAAGTGGGTGATAATTGCACACGAAGATTACATGGTATGTAGAACTACAGCCCCTATGACCATGTCACCCCTCAGCTCCTGTCCCCACCCTCTGCCATCAGGGCAGAGGCTTTAGAGGAGCCACAGCTCACTCTGGTCCTCGTTCTAGGAGCTGCATTTCACCAAGGACATAGTAGAGGCAGGACTGGCCGGGGACACCAATCTCTACTACCTGGCACTTATTGAAAGGGGAACAGGTAGGTGATTGCTCTGCTGACCACAGGGCTCTAGTCAAGGGGAGCCCTGAAATAGCACACGTGCCTGGGGTCCTAGAATCCTCCCTAGAGATTTACAAACACTGGTGACCAGGGAACTGCCCTTTCAGTGAGGACTTTTTCTGCAGCACAGCCACACACGTGTCATGCCATTGAATTCTCACCACTGGGGTGGTGGCTGAACCTCAAGCTTGGTCTCACCTCAGCTTGGTTTTGTTTTCTGTTTTAGTTCCCTGTAGCAGCAGACCTCGTTTCTGCCCCCCACAGAAGAACAGGGCTGTCACTCTGATTGTAAAGATTGGAAAACAACCTCCCCCCCTCTTCTGACATCTGACCTTGCCAGGGCCTGCTACTGGGGCCACAGATGCATGCTTGGGCCGTTAGGCTGTTATCCTACCCAGCCTCAGCAGCCTGGCACTGCCCACTCATCCCAACCCCCAGCCTCACAACTGGGACCACTGAGCCAAGCAAGCTGCCTGTGGTCCTGCACTAGTCAATATTTTGAGTGATGTAAAATTCCTGGGCTGGGGATATAGTTCAGGGGTAGAACACTTGCCTAGCAAACCTGAGGCCTTGGATTTCTTCCCGGTACCACAAGAGAGAAATAAGACAAGTAAAGGAAAATTAAATTCCAAAAGCTGGAAACTATAAAGAAGAGCTTGTTTACTCATACTCTTGTGAGTTTGTTACAGTTTTTATTACATTTATTTAGCGTATGTGTGTGTGTACTCAGGTCTAAGCAACACACACCCACAGAGTTATCAGAGGATAACTTGAAGGAGTCAGTTCTTTCCTTCAACCTATGGGTTCCGGGGATCAAACTGGGGTCATGAGGCTTAGGAGCAGCTACCCCTACCTACTGATCTGTCTCACTGGCCTCTTTGTATGTTTTGTCTTCTTGAGGAAGAACCTCACTCCATAGCTCTAGCTGGTCTGGAACTCAAAATGTAGACGTGGCTGATCTAGAACTCACAGAGATCCGTCTACCTCTGGAGGGCTGGGATTAAAAGTTTGCACCACCACGCTGTTTTATTTTTGTTCTTGAGATCAGCTCAGGTTGGCTTGAACTCCTGATCTTCTTTCTTAGCCTGCAGAGTACTGGGACTGCACAAATGGGCCACCATGCCTAGGGTAGCTCACATATTTGAAGGCTGGAAATCCAGATGACCTAATGACTCTGGTAAAGAGCTTCATGGCAGGTGAAAAATACAAAGGTGTGGAAGAAATCACATGGTGAGAGGAAGCCAGAGAGATTTGGGAGCCATGATTGTTCTGTAACAACTTCTTGGCACTCACCAGAGTCTCAGGAGAAGCACCTTAATACTTTCAGAAGGCAACTCCTCCTCATCTAAAACTACCTCTTGCTAGAGCCCACTTCTTACAGGTTTGACTTTGCAGCAGCATGTGGGAACCAACTTCCAGTATAAATACCTTTGGGTAATATGTATAAGCCAAATCAGAAGTACCAATCAAAAGACATCTGTGAGCCAGGAAAAGGGCTCAGTGGGTTAAAGCTAATGACCTGAACTCGATTCCTGGAACCTACATAAAAAAGCTGAATAGAGTGTGCATCTGTAATCCCAGAGATAGGAGAATCTTCTGGAAGCTCCAATAAGTAGCATAGCTGTGGAAAGGAGAGCCCTTGCCTCAAAACAAAGTGGAACGAGAGAAGTGGTTCCTGAGAAACAGTCCTCTGCCCACATGCACACTGTGGTGTGCTCCTGCACTCAAACACTACACCCAGTACCTAAATTAATCTTAACAAGAGTCAAAGGTATCAGCTGGGTGGTGGTGGCGCACACCTTTAATCCCAGTGCTGGGGAGGCAGAGGCAGGTGGATCTCTGTGAGTTCAAGGCCAGCCTGGTCTACAGGGTGAGATCCAGGACAGGAACCAAAACTACACAGAGAAACCCTGTGTGTGTGTGTGGGGTGGGGGGAGTGAAAAAAAAAGAGTAAAAGGTATCATCAGGGGGAAATTAATACATGGAGGTATTTTGCTGAGTGACTATGAATGCAGATTTGATACCAGGAAGTTCTGGTTATACTCAGTCTTGTGCTTTTGTAGCTGTTTAAGCAGAGATGTTTCTGCCAGAGCCTCACTTTCCTCATATATAAATTGGATTTGAGAAGCTGGGAACATTTGCCTCTAGTCCTAGTTGGGAATCAGAAACAGGAGGATCAGGAGTTCAAAGTCATTCTTTGTTATATATTGAATTTGAGGCTAGTCTGGGCTATGTGAGACTCTCAACAACAACAAATTCTTTGAAGAAAAAAAAAAAAAGAAAAGAAAAGAAAGGGGCTGGAGAGATGGATCAGTGGTTAAGAGCATTGCCTGCTCATCCCGAAGACCCGAGTTCAGTCTCCAGCACCTACATGGCAGCTCACAACCATCTATAACTCCAGTCCCAGGATGCATTGCCTTCTTCAGGCTTCCAAAGGCACTGTATACATGTTGGTGCAAAGATACATGGAGGCAAACAATGAACCACACACACGGAGTTTTAAAAATTGTAATGACGTCTCTCAAGGTAGCATATTTAATCCATTGACAAATAAGTAAGTAGAGCGGATCTTAGGAGAACAGAATTACTCTGCCTCACACTCAGCAACCTGGCGGCTCTACTTAGGTTCTAAAACAGTCAGTACCAGTATACTTGGCAGCGCTTAAGGTAACAGGAGACATTGTGTTGGCTTTGGGTACAGTGGAGACCACCATGGGAAGCTGGGTGAACACTGATTTTCTCCCTTTCCCCTGTTGCCAGCGAAACTCCAGGCTGCTGTCGTATTGAACCCTGGCTACTCCTCCATCCCACCCATTTTCCGACTCTGTCTAAACTGGAAAGGGGAGAAAACCAGCAGCAATGATGACAATATCCGGGTAAGACCCACAAGTGTGTCAGGAGGAGCAGAGAGAGCCCCTAGAGAGGTGGGTGGTGGCCAGGCCTGCAGCAGTGGAGGCCATGGGCACTGCTTAAGTCCCAGGACAAGAAATGACAGGATTTATAGAATGTGCTCACCCCTTAGTTTCCCTGAGGCCCACAGCTTTTCCCACTCATCAAGTAGCATTGTTAACTGGGTGCAGCGTCCTCGCACCACTCTAGGGACTTGGACCTAACTGAGGGTGGTGAGGGAATGAAGAACAGACAGACAGACAGACAGAAAGCTGGAATCAGGTGGTCTGGACTCTCAGCAAGCCCAGCATGTTTGTTACATAGAGTTGAACATGAAGGCAGAGTCACAGTGCACAGATGCACCAAGGAGGCAGGTTTAGCTAATCCCGGTAGGAGCAGGCTCTCTAGGGAGCAGTCTCCAGGCCATAAATACCCAGGGGATAGAAAGTTATGGTTGACATTTTCTGAGTACACCGTCAGCATTCCCACTTGGAGCAGAAGAGAAGGCTTTGACATTCCTCTTAGCCTCGTGTGGGGGAGGGGGAAGGCTTTGCCAGATCTGCATGGATGTGAGGTTAGGGTCCTTGCCTTGGCCAGCTCATGTTGACAACATACCTTCACTCAGGACGGTATACACACTCATTCTGGATTTCATGCACTCAGGGTTTCCTCTGTTCCCTATAACAAGGCATGGTGGTACACACCTTTAATCCCAGCACTAGGGAGGCAGAAGCAGACAAATCTCTGTGAGTTCAAGGCCAGCCTGGTCTACATAGTAAGTTCCAGGCCAGCCAAGGCTACATAGTGAGACCCTGCCTCCAAAAAAACGAAAAAGTTTTCTTAAAATCTTGTCACCTTGGGCTTCTGTGAGATGGTAAATAAACTCAGAAACACTCAGATCCGATGACAGGGAGGGTGCGCTTAAGGCCATGCCTCTTGCTGGGATTTGGTAGCCTTATGACCATAGAGCATGTTTGTAAGCCTGATGCCTTCTGACTTGGGACTAAAGATTCTTCCTCTACAGACCTGTGTTCCTTGCTGTAGGCATTTAGGGGAAATCATGATAATCAGGGGTCTCTGGACAAAGCTGTGGCACGGCTCTGTGTGTACAGCTCCTGTGCGTGTGCTCGCACCTGCCCCTGCACGCACATGTGCTCAGGTGGCAACTGTAGCTCTTGTGGTGCCCTCAGGCTCAGCTGTGAGGTTAATACGTGGCCAGTGTGCCCAGCCGCACTGAGGAAGGAATGCTGAGGTGCCGGCTTCCCACCCCCACAGGCTATGGAGAGTGAGGTCAACGTGTGCTATAAGGAGCTCTGTGGCCCTCGACCCAGCCACCAGCTCTTGACCAACCAGCTGCAGAGGCTGTGTGTGCTGCTGGACGTCTACCTGGAGACCGAGAGCCATGACGACAGTGTGGAGGGCCCCAAGGAGTTTCCCCAGGAGAAGATGTGCCTGCGGCTTTTTAGGTGAGTGGAGGGCTGGGCTCTCGAGACTCCTCATGAGGACAGGGACAGGGATCAGAGCCCTCCCGAAGACTAGGTCTCATTGGACAGGACCTGGCACAGAGGGCATCTGTCTCCGTTCATAGTAGAAATCCCCCGCCTTATTTCCAGGAAGAAGTTGTTTTCTCCTTCCTGAGACTTCCCTGCAGCTGGCTCCCCTGTTCTTAGTCACGCCCTGGAGAAGGCCACCCAACCAAGGAAATTGCTTCGCTTAAAAGCTTTGGCTGAACTTTGAGTGTTTTCTGTGGGAAACAGCAGGGCCTGTTTACTTTTGACATCCCAGGGAGCCCTTAAGGTGGTGTACCTCACAGTCTCTAGTGAGCTTGCTGGCATCTTTGAGTGTCTCCCTCAGTGAGACTCAAGACAGTGGGCAACCAGGCAGCAGAGAAAACAAAACAGAACAGCTCTTCCAGAAGGCAGGCAGGTGAGCACACCAACAGAGCAGTCCGTTCTAGCACTGAGCCCTGGACCTAGGGCTGAAGAGGGGGCGTAAGGCCTTCTGTAGAGCTCAGGGTGACTCAGATGATTCCTGCTCCAAGTTAGGGGCGCAGAGTGTGTTAGCAGATCCTGGCAGCTTGCTGTGTAGAGTGCCTGGGCTTGCAGTACCTCAGGCTAGTTCTCCATTTTCTTAGGTGTTGGGGTTTTCTTTCCTGTTTGTCCCCTAATGTGTGTTTTTATTCTTTCAAAACTCTAGAGATTACTTCCAGGTCTCCCTTCTCTTTTGGACAAGGGAGTGAGGAAGGTGAGGGTGTTTGGATTATAATTTGTTATAATCTGTCAGGCTTGGTGTCATGGCTCATGCCCAAAATCTCAGCACTTGGAAGCTGGAGGCAGGAGGATTGCCATGAGTTCAGCCTTGGCTACAGAACAGATAAAACAAAAGAGTTCTCACCTTGCTCTCAGTCTTATTCTTGAATAGTCAGTTCTGACATCTGGGAAGGTGTCCAGCCTCTTCCTTCCCATCTGGCACCTCCGCTGTCCTGGCTATGGTGTTTGATAATAACCAGCTCCAGCCCTGAGTGGCTGCAGGAAGCAGCTGACCGCCAAAAGCCAGTCTGAGGCTTGTTCCCTCCAGTGGCTCTGTGTGCGGTCTCAGCTCTCCCCCTCCACCTGCTCTAGCACGTTTGCAGGATGGGAGCCTCCACACAACCTGTGCCTATTTTCTCTGAAATGGTGCCCGGAAGACTCATTTCCTGAGGTGTTGAGCTCGATCGGTGCTCTGGGAGGTGACAACATCATAATTGATGGATGGGGCTGCAAGGTTCTTGACCCGAAGTCCAGCCGACTACGAGTGCAGGGTGCTGGTGTGAGCAGTGGTAGACCTGAGGTTCGGCTTGGACTGAGACTTCGCCACTCTGCCTAGGTGTACCCCTCTGGTTGGAGGCTTCTAATGCCTGGATGATCCCAGGCTGAGATCTCAGGTCCAGCTCCCACCCATGAGATAAGGGTCTCTGTACTCACCCTCTGAGCAGCACATACTGCATGTGTTAATGGAAAGATCAAACTGAGATGGAGAACGTTATGTGCCAGCACAACGCAGGCTGGATAAGCCCTCAGCCACCGAGGAAAAGAAGGCTGAGTACCCGTCAGTCCCCAGGGAAGAATAAAAACTCCTGCTCCCTACTCAAACATTGCCCTAGTTACTTCCTATTGTGATAACACGTGACCAAAAGCAACCTGGGGAGGAAGGGGTTTACTTCAGTTGTCCTTCTGAAGAGGAGGCAGGTCAGGGGCTGAAGCAGAGACCATAGAGGGATGCTGCTTACCGGCCTGCTCACTCCACTTGCTTCTTCCTACTTGACTCTGACGTGTGAAAGTTGACAAAAAACTATCCTGCACACATCCTTACTCCCTTAGACCAAGTTCCAGGGTGCCACCTTCTGTAGCTGTTGTTGGATGTCGATCCTTCTGTAGATGTTTGTCTTTGTGTGGTTTCCTTTGAGGACCCATTTTCCTGCTAACATCTTCACGGGGTAGAAGAAGTTGAACATAGACCTTACTCTGCTTGGCCGCGACTCAGCCTTCCCGGAGCGAACAGGCTTTGGTGTCAGACCCCCGGGGTTTGCATCTGTTGCTTCCCGGCCATACACTGTTGTGCAAACTTTGGCCTCCTGTGTCTCTAGCTTTAATGTTCTCTTTGCTTTTTCAATTATAGAAATGTAGCGTTTGTTGATAAAGTTATAGACAGTGATCCAAAAAACGAGAATGTTCGTGTCCTGCCCCCAAAATGTCTGCTGCATTAAGGGATCTTCCAGGTTCACACATTTGCAAGCATGTAGGACACTTTTTACAAAAATGGTGTCACACCTTAACCAGTGTGAGCTGATTTTCTCACTGTGCCCTGTGCCTGAACCATGCAATTCTGACATTTCCCCCATGACAGCTACATGGCATTCTCTTGTGAGTGAGCTGTGATTTATTTTATCAGTCCAGAAGGCACATTATTAACTGTTGTTCCTTTTCTTGTCTCTCTAGGGGTCCAAGCAGGATGAAGCCATTTAAATATAACCACCCGCAAGGATTCTTTAGCCACCGGTGATTCCCTTTACCTGTCACCCTCCAAGCCCAGCCTTGGGTCCTGCATCTCTGCTTCTGCTCTGGCTACATGTAGTTCTTGATATTTTCCAAAGACACCAGCTGATTAAATGTCACCTGACCAAATGGACTTTGTTTGTAGCTACTGGGGCAGTCTGGAAGGGCAGGTGGAACCTTGGCGGCATGAGGACTATTTCTGGATGTGCTTTCTTTTCTTTCTTTCTTTCTTTCTTTCTTTCTTTCTTTCTTTCTTTCTTTCTTTCTTTCTTTCTTTCTTTCTTTCTTTCTTTCTTTCTTTCTTTCTTCTTTTTTTTTTTTTTTCCCAAGATGGGGTTTCTCTGTGCAGCACTGGGTGTCCTGAAACTCAGTCCATAGACCAAGCTGGGCTTCGAACTCAGAGATCCGCCTGCATCTGCCTCCCATGTGCAGGGATTAAAGGTGTGCGCCGCCTCCACCGTCACCACCACCCCCTCTAGCTTGGATGAGCTTTTTAAAGGTGACTGAGAAATGTCAGTTCTAGAGAAGTGGCGCCTGTTTGTCCACACCTGCCTTGTTAGTTTGCAGGGACAAAGTATCTTGGTGTTTATTATCCTAGCTCTCTACTTATTAGGAAGTTGCAGGAGAAACCAAAGTCAGTAGATCCAAATGTTCCTTTCTCAGCCTTCATTCTCTCTACTGGACCTGCCTTTGTCCCTTAATGGCCTAATACTTGGCAGTTGGATGTTTTAAATGCCTAACTTGCAACAACCTTAAAGAGAAAACAAATAGGGGCTGGAGAGATGGCTCAGAGGTTAAGAACACTGGCTGCTCTCCCAGAGGTTCTGAGTTCAATTCCCAGCAACCACATGGTGGCTCACAGCCATCTATAGTGGATCTGATGCCCTCTTCTGATGTAAAGTGGATAGAGCACTCATATACATAAAATAATAAGTAAATCTTTAAAAAAAAAAAAAGAAGAAGAACACAGGGCTGAGAATGTAGTTCAGTGGTAGATCACATGCAAAGTTCTGTGTCATTCCTCAGCACCAAAAGGGAAAGAAAGAACCAGGCTACAAAGATAGAAAAATACTTAATAATTATTGAGGGTCACACCTTTAATCCAAGTACTCAGGAAGCAAAGGCAGGTGTATCTCTGAGTTCAAGGCCAGCATAGACTACATCATGAGTTCCAGGTCATCCAGGGTTATATAGAGAGACCCTGTCTCAAAAACAAAAAAAAGCCCCCAAATTAAGAATTATTCTGTGGTTGTAGGCTAAGGATATAGCTCAGTTGACAGATTGTTTGCTAGAATTCATGAAGTCCTGAATTTGGTCCCCAACAACACATAAACCAGCTGTAGTGGTGTATGCCTATAATCCCAGCATGAAGTGGAGTCAGGAGGGTCACAAGTTCAAGATCACTGTGCTGCATAGGACGTTTGAGACCTGCTGGACTACCTAACACATTATTTCAACAATAATAACTATTGTTGGAAGTATAACCTAGTTTGCTAGCTCAAAGACAAACTAATTGTACCTTTTATTATGGTTCCAGTCAAGATTTTTCAAGCTTTTCGTACCTTTAGAACACTGCAGTCCAGCACTTTGCAAACATATCTACTCTATGTAGATCCTTGACAGCATGGATTTCCTGTGTAGACACTGCTCTTTCCGCCCTTGCAGCTGAGATTCTAAAGACAAAGATTTTGGGGAGTGCATGCCTCTAATCCCAGCACTCAGGAGGCAGCGGCAGGTGGATCTCTGTAAGTTTGAGGTCAGCCTGGTCCCAGAGTGAGTTCCAGGACAGCCAGGGCTACACAGAGAAACCCTGTCTTGGGAAAAAGAAGAGGAGGAGGAGGAAAGGAAGAAGAAAAAAAAATATTTTGGGGAGCTTTGGGGCTGAAAGATGGCCCAGCAGTTAAGAGTAAAAGCATGTACTGCTCTTGTAGATGCCCCCAAGTTTGGTTCCCAGCATCCATATCAGGCTTACAACCACCTGTAACTCTAGCTTCAGGGATCCAGTGTGTGTGGTCTCTACAGGTCCTGGCATTCATGTACTCATGTACATACCAGCACCACCACTTTACACTTAAAGACGAATTTTAAAAAAATGTAAGGCAAGCTGGGAGACTCCAAAACCTGCCAAGGTTCTTCATTCTAGCAAGAGAAAAATGGTACTTAGGGTAGCCTTCAATATCTAGTACCACTCAACACCTCCCTGCCCCACACTGCCTTCTTCCTCTGACTACCAGAGGAAGGCACTCCAGCCAGAGGCCCTCAAACTACACAGGACTTACCTGTCTACCAGCTGATCCAAAAAGCACTTTTCCAAGCCCTACTCCTAATCCTCTGACACGGCTGACCTAAGATGGGCCAAGGAAGTATATTTTTAACAAGCTCCCCAAGGCCACTTTGCCCTAGCCTTTCTTTGAAGGCATTGTACTTTTGTCCTTTCCCTTCTCTCAATTTTCTTGATGACGGAACACAGGAGAGCCAGTTTTTCTAAGCAGGTCCTTCTCTGCTGTCTTAAGCAGCCTGAGCATCTGGGTGCTTTTTATCCTGACCTAGTTGCCTGGGACTTTGTCCCTGCTGACATCTTCTTGGTCTGGCTACTTCCAGGCCTGCATCTCACTGCCTGTGCTGAATAAGATTGAAACAGGGTCTAAAAATAGTTCCTCTAATGGCCCCTGCATTGCAGCCGCCACTTTGGTCTTGTCTGGAAGACGGCCAAACTGACTCAGCACAAAAGCTCACCTCCAGAAAGAGGCAGGGACTGGATTGCAAAGACTGCTGGTGAGTGCTGGGAGGGGCTCTGCTTGCTAGGTTCCAGCTCGTCCCCATCAGAAGAGCAGGTAGAGCAAAGGGATCTCCTGGCCTTATGGAGAAAGGTGGAAAAACAAACTCAATACAATCAGCCCCTTCAGAATGCTTAGTGGAGCCGTCCAGGCCTAGAGTGTGCAGATAGGGGAAGGACCCCCAGAAGCTGCTTCTGCTGCAATTGTCCCTAGTCTGCAGTTTCTGAGCTGGAGCACACCCCAAACTGCAGCCCCTGCCAGCACTTGCCCTGCACCAGGAAACCCCATACGTGTTCCTTGCCTTTTATTTATTGCAATGCCAGGGATCCAACAATACAGAGCGTCATGTTTACTAGGCAAGTGCCACTGAGGGCACCGCTCAGCCCATCTGTCTTAGTCAGGGTTCCTGTTGTGATGAACCACCATGACCAAAAGCAAGCTGGGGAGAAAAGGGTTTATTTGGCTTACATTTCCACATCGCTGCTCATCATTGAAGGAAGTCAGGGCAGGAACTCAAACAGGACAGGATCCTGGAGGCAGGAGCTGATGCCGAGGCCATGGAGGGGAGCTGCTTACTGGCTTGCTCCTCATGGCTTGCTCAGGCTGCTTCCTTATAGAACCCAGGAGAGTTGCTTACAGGCTTGCTCCTCATGGCTTGCTCAGGCTGCTTTCTTAGAGAAGCCAGGAGTGTTGCTTACAGGCTTGCTCCACATGGCTTGCTCAGGCTGCTTTCTTAGAGAACCCAGGACCACCAGCCCAGCGTTGACCCCCACTGGACCTACCCACATAAATCACTAATTAAGAAAATCCCCTACAGGCTTTCCTGTCTACAGCCCAGTCTTACAGAGGCATTTTCTCAATTGAGGCTCCCTCCTCTTGGATGGCTGTAGCTTGTGTCAAGTTGATATAAAAACTGGCCAGGGCACCATCCTTGTCCTTCTAAAAACTGGCCTTCATATTCCTGGTCTCTTCTTGAACTTGCAATATCTAAGGATGTCCTTGCGCTCCTGATCCCCACCGCCACCTCCTAAACATTGCGGTTTTAGGCATTCACTGCCATGCCTAGCTTCTCCCTTGCTTTCTTCACAGCCTGCACTTGACTGTTTTCCCTATAAACCCAAATGACCCTTGTTATTTTAAGGGCGTTCTTACTGAGCACGCTGGTGAGCAAAGCTGAGAAAAGCCCTCTCCAGAGAAGGTGCAGTTGCCATGCTACAGAGGAACTCTGTCTGTGCCCAATTCTGCCCTCCTCATGGGTTCAGCAGCCTCCGACCAAAGCAGACATTAAGTTGTTATTTTAGGTAAGGCCCTGAACTAATCACAATTTCACACTTCCAGTCTAGTTAATAGCAACAGGCTGCCAGTGTACTGAGGGAGACCCGCTCCCACCCCCCACCCCCCCAGTATTCTTGAGGAGGGAGAAGTGAGAAATACTTAGATAGAAATATAGAGGGATAGAGACAGACAGAAACACGGGATAAGCTGGGCAGGGGTGGCGCATGCCTTTAGACCCAGCACTGGGGAGGCAGAGGCAAGTGGATCTCTGTGAGTTCAAGGCCAGCCTGGTCTACAAAGCAAGTTCCGGGACAGGTTCCAAAGCTACACAGATAAACCATGTCTCGAAAAACAAACAAACAAACAAACAAAAACCTCACAGGATAACCTCAGGCCTGGATCAAACCCACCAGCCCCTTCTGTCTCTTCTAAAGGGCTTTTAAAGGAATGCCAAGGGATGGAGCAAAAGACTGCCCCCTAGCATAGCCAAGTGCATCCCAAACACCTGATAACAACGCATGTCAAGCCATCTCCTAATGCAGCCCTGCTGTGTAAAGCAAGCTCAGACCTCACTAGGAAACCTCTGTTGGCTCTCACAGTGTGCATGTATTCCTTACTTTTTTTTTTTTTTTTTTTTTTTTTTTTTTTTTTTTTTTTTTTTGGCATGGATAGGGTAGGTTGAGACAGTCTCAATATGCAGCTCCTACTGGCCTTGAACTGGAGATCCTCCTGCCTTGGTTGGCTGAACTATAATACTCTACCACTACATCCAGCTACCCTCCCTTCATTTTTCCAGCAGAGAAAACTGGCTCAGGGTGGAGTGACTGTCCATGCTCCTCTGTCTCTGGAGCTGCCCCAAGCTGGAAATAGAGAGGTCTGTCTACATCTCAAAGGCTTACACAGTAGCTGTAGGCTAAAGCCTATCCAGGCTGGCACTTTTTCTGGGCTGTGAGCCATTTCAGCAATACTGTTGTTCATGTCATTATACTCAGAGGAGCTGGGTGGTCAGGAGGTACATTTTGGTGTCATAATGGCCCACTGGGTGCTTTTCACCTGTGAGTAGCTGCTTGATCCTGGACAG